ACAGGCTCAGCTATGACAAAGGTACTTAACCTGCCTTAGACTGTGAGTCACTAGGTAAGGCTGATTGGTTAACGTAGAGTGTCAAATGATTTTAAATAGTGTTTTGAAGTTGATCTTTGGTATAAGAAATAGCAATCCACAGTTCTCCAGAAAGAAAAGAAATGCTATGATTCAAATGTGAAGTAGTTGCTAAAATTCAGATACGAACAGCCTCAGCTGTTTGCAGGAGGGGAGCTATGAGCCCATGACTAATGCTCATTTCTGTGAGTTGTCTTTGTCTTCTGCACAAGCGAAGGGATTACAGGGTATTTTTAGCAGTAGCATTTGGTCTCTGGTAATATTTTTTTGTTGTTAATACTAGCTGTGGTTCTAGACTAAAGCTTCCTTCAGTTTGTGACAGATTCGATTCAGGAGGCCTGAGAGTCCAACCTGCTGCTAGCAGCAAGGTTTGTACATACAGTAAGGTTGGGAAGTTCCACGTGGCTTGCTTTGAGTGTGCAGAGAGAAAGCTGTTTGTTTGGGCAGGAGCATCTGAGAAGGGCAGGCAGGTGGGATGTGGGGCAGTTTGGGTGCTGTCTTCTGCAAGGAACTGTGGGCACAGTGACCTGGAATCCCTCACACCACCAAAGGACTGCGCTTGAAATGAGAAGCCAGCATAGGAACCAAGCTACAGCCCATTTAAAAAAAAAAAATCCAATTTCAAGCATTCTGATCCTTCAGTTGTAACTGAAACAGAAGTTCAGGTGTGGTCCCTCCTCTGATGTCTGAGTGTAGGTGAGATGTGAGGATGGGAGGAAAGCGAAGCGCTTGCTGCTGGCATTGTGGCAGAGGGCTGGGGCAGCTCACGGTGCTTCTGCTGGTTTGGGGCTCTTTGGAGCTGCTGGGTTTGGTGCTGGGAGCTCTTTCTGCAGTGTTGGAATGCAGTTTATCTGTAAGGCAGCCAGCGAGGTGGTTGGTGAATGCGTGCCGGGAGTCACTTTGCAGGAGCAATAAACATTTTGGGGATTGCCATTTGTATTGCTCTCACGTAGGCAAAAATAATTATATGCTGAGAAATCATGTCAAGCTTTCTTCAAATTTGTATAAAATAAAACTAAAGGTAATAGAATGGATGTTTATATTAGCTGTGCTTCCATTAGCAGTAACCTTAGGACTACAGCCTCTTACTTCTTTTTGTGTGCAATAGTTTCTACTGGCACTCTCAATTGTTCCTTAGGTGACTGGGTGTAATTAGTTTTCTTCCCTAAGAGGAATATTATTGCTCGCTATTTAAGATGAATGTTCTTTACATGTAAACTTTCTCTTTTTTGCAGTGCTGTAGGTAAGACATGCCTACTCATCAGTTACACAACCAATGCGTTTCCTGGGGAATACATACCCACAGTGTAAGTACTTATAAAATTCTAAAAACATTTGTCAGCACAGTGGTGCTTACTGCTGGTCCAGCTTCCTTGCTGAGCTGCCTGAAATACCTGCACACCACTCAGTGCCATCAGAACATCTGGCTGAGCATCTGCGTGTGCTGCAGGGGCAGTGTGCCGGGCTGCCCTTAGCGTGGCTGTGGCAGCACTTCCTCCAGTGAGTAGATTTGGCTCTACCTGAGCACAAGGCCGCCTCGACTGGGATGGGTATTTAGTGGCATTTTGACAGTTACCATTCTTTCTTACAATAACATGTTTGACCGTGCTATTAGTACAGAAATAACAGCTTGTAAACCAATTATGTCTATGTTTTATGTGACTACAGGTGAGATTTTTCTGTTCCTTCCCCTTTTGTGTATGCGTTAGTGCCAGTCCTGTGCTGAGCTGGCCACAGCTCAGTGCCTCCTCACGCATTGGTATGGGAACTCATCTATTTTTGGTGCTTCCCTCTATCTTGCATGGAAGAACTTGCTGCTATCAGTATTAGTGCAGTTCCCTTTGTGAGGGCCTGCTGGGTGGCCTTTCATACACGAGCAGCTTCCCTACCCTTAACAGATGTCTCTGTAAAGTGCATTTATCTAGCTTGTTCTCTGTAAGTGTTGATGAGAGGTTTCGGATGACTTTAGTAACTCTAAGGCCTTCTTGTCTTAATTACTCCTGTTTCCCTTTTTTTTTGTCTTAAATTTTTGTGTTATATTATGCATGCGTTCCTGCTGAAGTTGGTTTGCCCTAAAACGTTCAATTGTGTCTACAGAAATGATTAAAATCACACTTCTACTGGCTCCTGGTATTTGAAGTATTTAAAAACTTTTTCTGGGGAGCAGAAAAATGCAATGTGTTCTCTCTTATAGCTTTCCTAATTAGGACTCTGCAGGAAGAAACGCTCAAGGTGCCCAATTTTACTGCAGGCAGATGCAGCTAGCTTTTAATTTTTATTTTTTAGCTTTGACAACTACTCTGCTAATGTAATGGTTGATGGCAAACCAGTCAATCTGGGCCTGTGGGATACAGCTGGTCAAGAGGACTATGACAGACTACGCCCACTCTCCTACCCCCAAACAGTAAGTACTGTGAAGCCTAAGAAGATGGACAGCTTGAAGCTGTTCTGGAGATGTTACATCTGGAGCTGTATTTCTTACAACTTTATTAAGGTACTTGTTGCACGTAGGCTGAAGGATGGTAGCAAGAATCTTTGTGTGTACAACTGTATAAATGTTGAAATTTACACTCTTAGGTGTTTGTGTACATTGATGCATGTTGGCTTTATGTAGTTGCAGTCTCAGAATTAACCAGAATTCTTGATTAAAAGAGGGGAACAAAAGGGGGGGGGAAGGGGGGAGGAACAACAACAAAAAAACCTGAGTGAGTAGAGCGGTCCCATCAGTGAGCCATCGATACTAAAGTTAGCGTGGCTGCCAAAAGTGGGGCTTGTTTTGTTTCCAGGCATGATGCAACCTGACACTGTCACTGCTAAGCACTTGATGATGTTTAGCCTCTGTGCAGATGCACTAAATGTGAAAGAGGCAGTCCTGAATGGAGATCTTATGGTACTGACAGAGGCTGGGTTGTGGTTTTCAAATCTACTTAACCCCATGGCTCCTTTCTTACTTACTGCAGTTCCTGCTGTAACATCGATACAAACGTGTTTCTGTTTGCAGTGCTCACAACTGGTTAAATCCTGTCTGAGCGCTGTTCTTCTTTTTACAAAGAAAATGCTGAAGTAATCTGCTCTTTCTTTCCAGTGTGACTTCAGCTGCAGTTGGTCTTTGCAGAGGTTGCTTTTCTGGTCAGATTAGAGCAGTTATGTTCATCTGGTGCTGGCATCCTTTCAGTAAAGAAAGGGGTAACTTGTAGGTGTTATCAGCATTGATTACTGCTGTTGTCAACTATCATTGACAGTTAATAATTCAGTGTTAATAACGTTAAATGCAGATTTGTTCTAGTTATTCTACAGCATAACTGCTCCTCTGAATAATGAGAATCTTATTTAATGAACTCTGAATTCTTTTTTTAGTAAGCTTGTATTAATTCACAGTTTTCCTTAATTCACTGCTCACTAACTCATAAATGTAGGCTTTCCCTTTGGCACCAAGATGGATGTGAGCTGCCAGCTGTAGGCACTTCTGACTGAAATGTTAGAACTGTCTGCCTTTCCCCATTAGAGAATAAATGGGAAATTTCACTAAAATATATCTAATTTTGGATACTTAGAAGAACTTCAGGTTTGCTTAAAACTTTCTATCCTGCAATACTTTCTGATTGAAAAAAAGTGTCTTGAAAGATCACTCAGCAGTGTGGAAGAGCTGATGGCAAAGGAGGATGTTGTTCCTCCCCAGGCCACGTGTGTTGTCAGCCTGCTGAAATAACTGTGGCTTTCTAACAGTCTGCAAAAGAATTCCATGCCATCTAAACATTCTTTTTGGAAATCTCTTCTGTACATGCACACTAAACTGATAAACAAAGGTCTGCAATGCTGTCGCTACTCAGCTTATATGCTTTTCTACAGCAAAAAGTGGAAAGAGTGTTTAGGTCTTGAACTTCTCATGATGAAGTCCTCAGCTCTTGCAGCTGTGCAGTGAGGCAATATTCAGCAGCACTTAAAGGCCAAAACCCACACAACTCTCATTTAAAACAAACAAGCAACAGAGATGGCTAACCTTGGTTCTTTTCAAGAGAAGAAACCAAAAGGCAATGAATTTTTGTATGGTGTTTGCTCTTCCAAGTCACAGCTGAGAGTGCAGACCGACACAGGTGTATGGGAAGCCTGGCAGCCAGGTTTGGGTGCAGGTTGTGCTGAATTACAGAGCAGAGGCAGAAAGGCACATTGTAAATAGCTGTGAGCACCAATCGCTGGTGAAGAGAACAGTTTCCCTGACATCATTTTAGGAGTAACACTGTCTCGTACTGTTATTAGGTTGGAGGAACCAATGGTAAGAATATATCTTCCAGTCTGACAGATCAACCTATTGCCGTATGTAACTCCACAAGTAAACTTCAGTTCCAAGTTCTGTCATCTCGTCTTGCTTACGACAGTGATAAATTGGCCCCTATTTTTTTTAACAAACTACTTCTCTTGGAACTAATTTGCAGATCTGAGAACTCCATTACTGCATCTCTTTACAGCTTGCTAAGACTAAAGCACTTCTCACAAATAAAAAGCACTTGTTCCTGTTTATTAAGATTGGTAGCATGCGAGACACCTGAAATCTTGAAATAAGTCCTCAGGGTCACAATAATGTTTGATCTCTGGAGATAGTAAAGGAGAGAGTCTGCATAGTGTGCAGAGCTTCAATCACCACAAACTTGCAGAATTGGAAAACAGAAGTAGTGGCCATAGTATCACGTTACTTGATGTTGTTTCTTTCTTTTTCTGGGTTGCTGCTCTGGAAACTTGTGGGGGAGATGCATGAACAACTGGGTTGCAAGTGCTTAGCAATGCAGATGTTAGATGCTGACCTAACAAAAAAAACCTTGAAATGCAGTGCAATCAACTAACATTCTGAAATTCCTAATTCTTTAGCATGTCTGATGCTGGAGTAAGTAAGTATGGGTGCAGAGGAAGGCTGGAGAAAGTTGGGCCTGTTTGAGATGTGTTTATTGAATTTGGGGTCATACAGCAGAACTGCCCTCATCTAGTTGCATAGAGTGAGTTTGTGTGGTTATTTGGAGTGCTTGTAGATGACTGTAATGGACTTTGTTGCTTTTTGTTTTCTTAATGTACTGTACAGCAGTTAGCAGAGACATCTGCCGTGTGATAATTTCACACCATCTTATTTATCATCTTTGCTTTCAAGTAAAAGCCAAGATGCGTAAGTTCCCTAAAAGGAGCCCACTTTCCTGTCTATGCTTCCTCATAGTTTGGAAATGGAAGAGAAGAGGTAGTGTGATGTGAGATTTTAAATACCCTTCTCAATCCTAGTTTTGTTACAGAGAAGTCCTTAAAAGTCTTAGATAGAATCGACAGTAGTAACAGATTCTTCTGCCTTTAGCATGGGAGTAACTGTTGTGGAAGCTGATGTTGTGATATTGCTTTTTCACTCACAGCAGTACACTGCCTTTGCAGTTTAAGATTACTTTGGAGTACATCAATAGTATATTCTTTTTCAGAAATTGGTGCTGCTGGTAATGCTTCGTAACAACCTATGCTGAGAAGTTAGGTGTCTTTTAAGGATTAAATTGCTTAGAGGTCAGTAAGAGCAGCCATCCCCAGCTCAGAAGCCAGTCTCTTGCCTCTCTGCTGCGGTGTTTGTGGGGAAGCTCAAGTGTTTCTAAATGTCAGTAAGAGAGAAGGAACATTCAGGGCAATAAACCTGCAGTGCAGTGATGTTTGGTTGTTGGCTACTGCAATAGCTGATTATAAACTTGATTACAATCTACGTGTTTCCCTCCCCACGTACCTCTCTGCCTCTGCTTGTAGCAGTCTGGGAATGGATTTCCACAGGGAAGCTGCCTCTGATTGTTGCATCCAGCTGTGTCCGACCTCTCCTTGCAAGTTGTGGTACAGATGGTGGGGGTGCTGCTCTCTGCACGGCGATGCAGTTTTTCCACAGGTTGATCTGCTGAGCTGACTTCTGTCCGCTTTGTTTTTTAGGATGTCTTCTTAATCTGCTTTTCCCTTGTGAGTCCTGCTTCCTTTGAAAATGTTCGTGCTAAGGTAAATATAAGCTGGCATTATTTCATTTAAATGTATTGTTGATTTTACAGTGGTTTGAAGGAAAAACAAGTGCATGTGGCAGTTAGGCTGGGAGCACTGTTCTGTCAATCGGTCACCGTTCAGGTACCTGCTCTGCTGCTGTTACATTGCTTCATGTCCTTTGGACATCTGAGCCTAAGGCACTTGGTCACAAAGGAGAGGTGGGTGCCACGGGTGGGAGAAATGCAGATCGAGGTTTTTCCAGCATGGAGAAAAGATACAGCCTTAATGGGATCATTTCTAAGTATATGGAAATACCTGTTGGAATGAATAAAGAATTGTTTTGCAATTGTATGCTTTTTTTTTTTTTTTTTTAAATTCCATCTTAAAGAGCTCTTATGTTCTCCCCTTTTGTTCTTTGACACCTGAAAGTGTAACGAAAGGCTCTGAGCTTCACAGTTGTAATGTTTGAGAACCTGCACACTGACACTGTTACTGCTTTCTGTGCAGTGGTATCCTGAGGTGCGGCACCACTGCCCCAACACTCCCATCATTTTAGTGGGTACCAAACTCGATCTCAGAGATGATAAAGACACTATTGAAAAACTGAAGGAGAAGAAGCTGACTCCTATCACCTACCCACAGGGCCTTGCCATGGCAAAAGAGATAGGTATGGCTGCAATGGGTTACTGGGGGCTTGGGTCTAACTTCTGTTTGTGGAAGCTACTGCAGCGTTATTAACAGAAACGCCAGGCTTTTGTTGTGGAGTTCACTGCAGAAGCAGTGCTTTCTGTAACTGTGGAGAAGTGCTTTGTAATTGCCCCCTTGCTTCCCACAGGTGCAGTGAAATACCTGGAATGCTCAGCACTTACACAGCGAGGCCTCAAGACAGTGTTTGACGAAGCTATCCGAGCGGTTCTGTGCCCCCCGCCTGTAAAGAAGAGGAAGAGAAAATGTCTGCTGCTGTAAAGTCACCCTTCCCCACCCCTCCAAACCCTGTGCTTTGCTCAGAACAATGGAGCATTCACATTCAATGCCAAGTTTGTCTATTATAAATTAGTTCTCTTCCATAAATTTTTGAACCAATCAATAATTCCACGGTTTCATTTGTTTGAAGTATGAAAGTTCCTTTTCATTCTACTAAAAGCAAAATCCTAAAAGACAAACCTATATAAAGCCTTATTTTTAAAATCTTATTCTTGCTCAATTACTTAAGCGTTGCCAAACTATCTGCTGAACTAAGTTGTATTGTGCTAGGAACGAACACTAAGCACTAAACTGTTTTTTAAAGATTCTTCTTGAAGATGACTCTAATTTCTGTTAGGAAATGCAAAAACACTTTCTAGTTTTTCACAGTGACAGTACCGTATAATTAGCAAAACACTGCAGTCCAACATTTTATTATTAAATGTTTTCTCAACCCAGGGTCATTGCATAGCATTGTATAGTGAACCCAAGTCACTGACAGTGACTGACAAGTCACAGTGTAAAATGCTTTATCGTTGGTAAGGGCTTGGTTGCAATCTAGTTCTTGCTGCTGTGATTTCAAAAACAAAAACTGTTCTTACTGAAGTATATTTAGTCCTTTTGACAGAATTGTGTCGTGATGAAACAGTGGCTTGGATCAACTGATAGTGCCAGACAGTATTTTGACACTGTACAGATCAATTTACACTACACTGCCAGAGTAGTTGAAATTGAGTCAACTCTACTTAAGGTTAAAATTGGTGACTGCTTCCCCAGGTGTGCAGTAGTGGAAGAGAGGTTGGTGTTCATAGGTAAATTCCTTTGACGTTCACATAGGGCATTCATTTAGCTAGTTTTGAACAGCCATTCCCACACCTTGTGTAGTAAATGCTTTTCTTGTAGAATCTCTTCTTACCGAGCAATAGAGCTTGTATTTTAAAACCTTTCTGATGATAGATTTTTTTTTTAGTTAAGTAGAATGATCAAGCATAGCCTTCTTCTGTTTCTGTTATTTCCAACCCAGTAAGTTAAGCTTTCTGAGGAGCTTTTAGTCTATTAACTAGGTGTACAAATCATGTGAAGCAGCTTTACACATCCTAGCAGTTTTTATATTTTAGACCTCTATAATCTATGAACCTTCTCAGATGTCACTATTTGCCAGATGTCCCCAACACTGTAACATTACTAATGCAGACAAGTGTTCTTTGTCACCTTCATGTCCATGTGCAGCATAGATTGAGTAATGGTAACTTGGGTCTGTGAGGTTCTGTAAACTAGTGCTAATGTTCTGTACATCCTCAGCTGGCAGGAATACAGTGTTGAACTACACCCTTTCAACCACGAAAGCAAAACTTAAAAGTTGCAAAATTGTGAAGTTTTTACATTGATCTTTTGCTAATGCAATTAGCAGTATGTTTTGCATGTATGACTTAATAAATCCTTGAATCACATGTGGTAGTGTTGAGTTTTTGGGCAAGCTTTCTCACGCTTGTAGCACTGTGCACAAGCAGCAACTTGGGCTGTGTGTGTCCTCAGTCTATTTGTGCTGAACAGCCACAGGCACTTTCAGTGATGCTCCGATGTTACAGACCAGAATTAAATGCAGTACTTACCCCTGCTTCTTCAGCCCTGCACCATCATTTGAGTTGCTATTTGTCCCACAGCGTTTTAAAGATTGTGAGAACCAGGGGAAAAATGCACGCAACAGAAGTTATTCAGCTTACTGTATGCAAACAAAAGTTGTTTTTTTTTGTCCTCTTGGTACTTGGGGTGTTTCTGAGAGCTTGTAAAAGGGCGGCCCCACCCCAGTGAGCTGTTAACGCTCTTGGAGTTCAGCCATTTGCGTTTACCTGTAGTCACATGCCTGCCTTCGTGCCCGTGGGTGCTCCAGCTCAGGCAGGAAGGAAGCAGCAGCCCTGCCCCAGCAGGGAGAACTCAGCTCACTGCACAACCAGTTACCAACCACTACTTTTTGTCTCACGCCCAGAAGACGCGAAGATAAGGAAACAAGTTCTTTACAGCGTGTTTTATTTTTTCTTCCTCATTAAGTATCACAGCAAGAACACCACAGGGCTGTTCTTAACCATGTCATATGGTTACTTATTTCTTGCAATTTCTTTTGATAAGAAAGAAATGCTCTTGACTTAAAAAGTTGTTCAAGTACTTACACACTAGAAACAAGCCACACTCTTAAAACCAGTTTCACTGTACAAATATATATTTTTTGCAGAATTACAAATTGCTGTTTTCATTAGAGCTAGTGACTACCAGGATGAAGGTGAAGCATGAACAATTGTTTTTCCTCATTAAATAGTTAAAGTATTGGTTCAGTTTAAAATTAATTAAAAGTAGTCCTGTTGGTCAACAAATACAAAAGCCAGGTAGATTAAGAATATTGCACATGTAAACCCAAGCAGCACTTACACGTGACTCCCACCACCTCCAACAGGGATGCTACACACCCTTAAAGATAAAACAGTGCAACCAGAACTGCCCGATTAAAAACAAAACAAAAATGACACAATAGTAGGGCCTGCCTTCACACACCCACGTGCCAGGCTGCCCTGACCACAAGCAGTCCCTCACTCACCTCCTGCTGCTCAGCTGCAGCCAACTTGTGCACTGCAGCACTGCTTTCTTCACAGCACCGTTAGCAGGCAGCCTGTGCTCCGCAGCAGCAGGGTGCAGGACACCCGTGAGCAGTGGAACAAAGTGACTTGGAGGCAGAACTGGATTCTTTTTTTACCTGCCTCACAGGGCTCTGTGCTGACAAGCTGGCCTCACCTCCGTCAAGCGTTCAGTTGAAGGCTCAGCTCTCTGGTGACAGCTTGCAGCAGCTTGGATGGCACTTGTATACTGTTCCACTTTTGGAAAAGCTCAAGCTTCAGCATCAGTGCAGAATATGCGCTTCACCCATCATAATGTTGCTTGAGATCACTGCAGAGACAAGGGCACCAAAACCTCTTGTTTGTTACGCACAAGATAAGAAAAGTACTGGAATCCACTCTATGAAAGTAGAATGTATCCTGAATACCTCAAAGCTGCATTTTTCATTTTTGTTTAAAGCAATTCTCTCTTCTGAGCTACGTACCACACTCTATTCCATTATTTTGTTTGACAAGACATACAAGATCTATGTTCTTGAGACAAACTGTTGAGAGCGTTGAGCACAACATCGGGCATGTGGTCTGTTATCATCTTGGGACTAATTAAAATGCTGCTGAAGACTGTTTCATTTGACCAGTTTGCAGAGTATTTAATGTCTGAAGAGCACAACCTAAAAAACACAAACACAAAGACTCCATACAACATGGAGCCGCCGCAGCCGGGGAAGCGGAGAGGGCTGCTTCCAAGGAGCTCTCGTGCAGCCCTCAGCTGGCAGATGGAAATGCTGCCACTGAAAGACCCCCAGGGCAGAGCTACACCAAACTATATGGTTTCCATAACCCTGCTCATAAAGCAGAGGATGTTGTCCGAGCAAAGGGGGAGGACAAACAATGCAATTCATGTGAGAGTACATCACAGTGCTTGCAGGAGGAGGCTGGACAGTGGTTATAATGCTGCATGTACCATGTGTAGGATTTTTGTTTTATAGAACAGTACATCGTGGAATAGAGGGTTTTCTATGGTAGTCTAATTAAGGAAAACAAACATTAACTGCTGTGCTTTGGAGTAAATGGAGAAAAGTGAACTCACTAAAGTACAGTAGAATAACAGCCATCAAGAAAACCTTCAGGGTCTCAAGTGCTGAAGTGTCTAATTTCTAAAACCATTACTCAAATCTTTAAACGCTCTAGACAATGTCAAGCTTAAATAAAATACTTACTGATCTACTGAATGGGAGGGAAAAAAATAAGAATTCTCTCTCTCTTTCCATCTTTCTTTTACTATCTGTTATAAATCAGAGATCTTTTTTCCAGTCTGTAGATGATCTTGTGCTTTACAGATGCTCTTATTTCTATTTGTGAATGAAACAAGGGATGGCACAACGTAGTTGTCTACCCTGAGGGGTATTACAGCCTTGTATGAAAAAGAAACAAAAACCACCGAAACCCCCACAAAACAAAACACCAACACAACACCCTTCTCCTCAACACAACCAGACTCCACGCTCCTCCAGCACTTCAAGCTCGTAGCAAGCAAGGGGCAGGAATCTAGAGGCTGACCAAATGGTGCCAACGGTCCTCCCCTGCTGGGCAGGTACTACAGGCAGCACCTACACGGCCCTGCTGTCAGCTTCACCACTACCAGAATGTGAGACGGCAGCATCAGCAGTGCTGTCTGTGCAGAAGCTGCATCACGCCAGAGCTAAACCTAGCATCTTCACACCAGCATGGGCACACACAGACAAACAGAGAGTTGCAGAAAGGGAGGTGCAGAAGAAGGAAAGAAAAAAAACCAAACACACCACAAAAACTGGACATTTTGTAGTAATCAGTGCATTGGAGATGGAGATGAGAAGCAGAACTAGAAGCATACTCTGAAAGCGAGAAGCAGCTTGAAACAGACTTTAGGAAGACAGGATAGTTGTATTTGTGATTCTACTTACCTCCTAGAGCTGGATTCTTCTACAATATGGATAATCTTCCCAGGAAGGTACAGACGAGGGTACTGCGGCGGAGAATTTAAGTGCGATTCTCCACTGAGGGCACTGTATGAAGGTGAGCGATGCACCATTAAGCTTTCCTCAGCTAGAAGGGGCTGCGTCAGGGCATCGTCGTTCCTCCCATCCAGCTCAGTTGGGAAGTTATCTGGATCTCCTCCAAATACTTCATACCAACAGCCACGCAACAAAATCTGGTACTGAATGCAGAAAGAAAAACAGCTGAACTGAAGCGCAGCATCTTTTCAATTGACTGATCCTGGTTGCGTGCTTTGCACACGCTTCACCTGAAACTACAGATGAGAGATTAAAAATGCCTGATGCACACACTTGTCTGAAGTTTCCTTTGATAATACCTGCTTATTGAATTTTCCCAACAGCAGCACATTATTTCACCAACACTGAACCCAATCCAATAGGAACGCTATGGAAAACATTAATATTTTATCCAGGTGAACTGTTCTGTGGATTATATTGTATATTTAACTTCGTTGCACCTACAACTTATAACTGCTGCCATCTAGGATGTCATCCAGACTCTCTGCATTACTCTTATTCCAGGGACTGCAATGAAATCCTGTGAGCACTACAGATTTAACTGCAGGTAGTAAGAGGTGGCCGCTTACAATCTTTAAAACCACTGTGCTCCAAAAATCCATGCAACTCCCATCATTAAAAGCAAAAAAACCATACTCCCTATGTCAGTGCATTAAAGCCAGGGCTTAACTCAGCAAACAATTCCACTGACTTCTAACCACAAACTGCATTTAGTTACCTTAGGTCTGTTGCAGTTTGCCACAATTCTCACTATTCTTCTCTTTAAGTCCTCCATGTTGGGCATGCTTAACCTGTTCAAACACATACAGAATCAGAAGAGCCTCCTATTTTATGAAATCTAACTTATAAATTAAATTAAAAAAATTAAAAACATTTCCATCTCACCTTGCAACAAGGTCCTTTCCAAGAATGACCGAAACAATGAAGCGTTTAGAGTACTCTGCAAGCGTTTTGCTTAAAGAAAAGACAAGCTTTAGATACACAATTCAGTTTTACTGTGATCATTACCATGCAGTAATAATACAGGCATGTAGCAGGAACAACTGCAGCTCTTGCAGTCAGTTCTGCAGCAGGACTCCAGGGGACAGAGCCATGCTGCTCCTCACTGCGTGCAGCTGTTTCTCTGGCTGAGGCAGCCTGGTCAGGGGAGTCATTTAGTTCTGAAGCCTTTACACAATCCCTAAGGAACCCAACTGTAACTCCAGGTGGAGTGAATCCAATTCTAGTGGAGAATGCATAAACAAACTTAATACAGCCAAGCAAAATTATTTAGCATACATAGGATGCTCCAAAACTAACACCTCCTGTTTATTCCCACGGAACCTACGAAAGACACAGGGCACATAACACTATTGGAGAAAGCAAACTTGCAGCTACCAAATGCTACTTTTCAACCACTATCAGCTGTGCATTTTTACCAATGAGAAACAACAGCCTGCATATTGTGCTCCTAAAAATCCACACCAGTGGAGGTGACCCACTGTCACCACTGCTGAAATGCACCACCAGCACCTCACTGTGCTGCACCCACCGCTTGGTCTCCACAAACATTCAGCAAGCGTTGCTGAATATCCATGGGTGCCACTTTTTCCACATGGAGGAATTCAATTCCACCCCTTTGTTTCATCCACCCTTCCATGTCAGATGCCGTTGTGACAGAGTGCCCCTCTGCTGCTGTCACACAGCAACAACATGTAAAGGGATGTTGGTGGGAAGGTTCAACCTCTGCTGCCATCCCACCAACAGCCGCCTCTGACACTGTGGGCCAACATAATAAAATCCGAGGCATTACTTTCAGAGCAGCCATCATATTTGTCAACTGTCATCAAGTGTTTTACACTTAGCGAATCAAGAAACAGAAGTCTCATACTCACCTTAGAAGTCCTCCTGGAGGAGAAAAGGCATAACATTTTAATGTTGGGAAGGAGTTCCTGAGCATGATCGCCAATACAGAAGCTGTTCCACCACCCAAACTGTGACCAACTATCACAAGCTTGTATTCCTACAGACAGAAAGACAAGACTGAAACACAGAAAAAGGTGCACAACTTCTCTGACAAACCAAATCGCTAGAAGGCAACTTACTGGAGCAATTGTGAAAGCCTGGTTTAAAATTCCATCATTAATTAGCTTTTGATAGATGTAATTTGCAGCCTGAGTTATTCCCTGCAAGACAACAGTTTAAGTTAGAAGACAAAGGTATTATCTAATCTGAAGAGAGGCAGATGCGTAATTAAAATCAACACCAATACAGAACAACTCTTCTTTAAAACCAGCACCCTCTTTTAGCATGCTCCTGACAGAGCATTCCATAACCAAGTGGTCTCATACAAAATGTTTAGAAAGCTTTCCCACTATTTAGTTAAGGACATGAAGTCAGACAACAGGTGCACAAACTGCCAGGATGTATGTGATGCAACGACCAAGCCACTGAGACCATTTGTGCAATTTGTGTCATAAGAATAATCATAAGAATAATAAAGGATCCCAAGAATTAAGTTAGTTTTTTACTGCATGAGATGAACAGCCACAGCCTGCACACACCTTATGCACGAAGCCATTCTCCAGAACATCTTCCAGGGTCAGGTCTTCACAGTCTGCTGACAGATCAGTGAGAATGTCCTGCAAACAAGAGCTTTAATCAGATCTCTCTGCAAGGTTTCATGGCTCATATTCTACTACTTATCAGATACTGGATATTAGGAAGAATTCTTCTCAGACATGGGCACAGTCTGCCCAGGGAAGTGGACTCAGACCCTGAATGTGTTTAAGGGTGGATGTGGTGCGTAGGGACGTGGCTCAGTGGGCAATATTGGTGTAGGTGGACAGTTGGACAAAATGATCTTAGAGGTCTTTTCCAACCTTATTTATTCTACAATTCACATTCTCACAGGGACAATCACCAAGTCTGTAAGCAGCTAAATACAGCCGACCACAAAACACCACCCAAACAAACACACACACACAACAATCAGAGTTATGATTTGAGCAACTAATTCCAAGCTGCAAACACATTACAAGTACACAAGTCACAGTACCAAAGAATTACCACCATCTTCCCCCTACACTCTGTTCCAGAAGCAAAGGGAATAATGCCCATCCAAGGACAGGAGCTTGTGACTCTGAATGACTCTTATAGCTTGTGACTCTGAAGGGACTTGTACCCACAAGTTGTTCTTAAATGCACCTGTGTAACACCTTTTCCTCTAGATGACCATGAGTTCACCCATATCTATAAAGCCAAATGCACACATTAAAAAGACAATACCTCAAAAGACAACGTTCCTCTCACTGCAACCACAATAGCTTCTTTTTTGTGATCCAAAGCAACAAAAAATGGAATCTCGTAGATCTGCAGAGGAAAAAATATATTCAGTAAAGACATCAGCTTCTCAGAAAGCTAAGCATTTGTTTTCACCTTCTGAAAGCCCTCCTACTGAATTTCTTGTACTGTGGACAGAAGCTGAACTGTTAAGTTATTATAAGTGCCCTCATAGCAATGCTGAGATTTATGTCAATGGCTGTGTGGTTGTTCTTTAAGAGTGAAAAAAAAAATCAGAACTGAAAAACGTGTTTCAGGGCCTGTTTTCACTTGCCTTTGTATTTTCCATTTTATGAATGCTGAAGGCAATCTAGAAACTTCACCTTCTTCTTTCACTGACTCAATCACAGTTCTGCTCACAAAGCAGCAAAACTGCTTCTGGCATGTTCTTGGCAACACCAGGTGAAGTATGTGCAGGTAGGCTGACAGCCATATACAAGAACTGAACTCACCCAGCTGGTGAAGGGGATCTCTGGCTCCACAGCACTCACTCCCAGGAAGCAGCCTAAGGCCGAGATGCCCCCCCTCAGTGCCCAGCCCTCATCAAGCCTGGAGGGGCTCCACCCCTTCTGGTCACCTGGGGAGCACAGGTGCAAGCAATCCCCTGTGCTCCCTGGGCAGCCAGGGGCTCAATCACAGTTGAAGCTGTGACCTAACAGCTCCCCTATCATCAGTATGGCTTTCTTGCTCAATGCCTGTTTAGATTGCTTACCTTGTTGTGAAAACTGATATGAATGAAGTCTCTGTACTGCAGTCCTGTTATTCTTAAGATGGATCCAAAGTGAAAGTTGCGACGATCACTTCCAGTTATATCAGAATCTTCTGGTCTACTTCTGCAACTAACAAACACAGAAGAGAAAAGCTTTCACGTTTAAGTTTTTCAAGTTTCCTTTCGGGAATCAAACTCAATTTCATCTGCACAACGATTTCTGCCAGGAATCAAAAGCTCCTCTAATCTTCCCCACCTTCTCCCCCCAGCACTGCTATTAGTATGAATGAAATGCTATCCCTGCCTGAGCAGCATTTCCACTCACAGGACCAGGAGCACCACTGCTACAGGACTATCACCACTGCACACATGCCAGTAAGAAAAGAATTAAAACTGAACTCCAATGACAAAAAATAGAAACAAGCAAAAAGTACATTTAAAACAAATTCTCTACAGCAGACTTATCTGATGTTTTATGCATTGCATTGTGTGATTTCCAAGTCATTTATATTTCAGAAGGTTAAATGATTTTATGTTAATTATTAAGAAAATTGTAGTTAGAGCCGCAAATCTCCAAGGTCACTCAGATACACAGTAATGGCACACAGCAGGATGCACACATCAGCACTGACTGTGACAGACTTAGAGGGCAAACAGAATGAAATGGATGCTGGAGCTGCAGGTTACTTTTTCTAATTCCTCTTCAGAGCTCCAAAACAGCTGACACACTCACTTGCACATGTATCTGCCCAAATGGGAACTCCATAAAGCCTCGTTGTAAAACATTACTTAATTCCAATTCTTTGATTTAACTCCATTCACCACCAATTCCTTTGTCATTTTGCTAACTGAATTTTATCTCAATCACAAACCATTCTTAAGAAACAAATGCTGACCAGTTTCTGAGTGCGAAGACATGCTGCCATTTTGCCTCCACTTAATTTAGGGAAGCTTATCTACACCCATGAGTAATATAATTTAATGTCACAAAACTAGTGCTATTGAAGACAGTTCATTTCTGCAAACAAGAGTGAATTAAGAAGAAGCTGTGTGTTTTTAAGCTCTTGATTCAACCTACCAGTCACCATTGAGCTTACAGAGTGCAGTGAATGGGCTGGTGTATATGTAGTAGGGCCAGCCATAGGCAGCTGCAGCAAACAGCATGTAGTGAGCAGCGTGCTCCAGTTCAACATCCAAGTCATCAGCCTGCAAGGACACGGGGAAAGAAGAGGAAGGAGGGAGAGAAAGAAAGGTGTGGTAAGCGACCCCAGAATAAAGCCCAAACACAAACTACTGAAAATTAAGGCACTATCTAAACAGAAAACCTCAGGATCTAAAAGAAAATAAAGGCAGCCACTCCTATTCCAGGAAAACAGCGTTTCTGTAGCTACAGAATAATCTTGAAAATCTCTCATTAAATTATATTCTTCCAATACATACTGAGTAGCTCAAAGGAATGGCTAAAGAATCTGTAGCAGATATCCCCAACAGGGGTATTTTAAGAATGACTCCACACTGCCCAGGTTCAAAAGGAATTTGATAGAATGATTTGAAATGGAATTACACTTGTGTGTAACACAGGCCCAAATTAGACAGAACAATTTCTAAAGGTGTTCTAGCACAGAAAAATCAATTAACAAACCATAACCCATCACCTGTAAGTATGTAAAAAATGACTGTTTTCATCTTATTTTGTCTGGGTATATGTACAACACATAGATTACACACACAGTGCTAGAAGACCAGCTTTTCAGTTCTTCACAAACAGTACTAAACATATTCTTCTATTCATTTTCTCTCACATCTCTTCAAAAATGAACAACTGTCTGAAATTATTCCTTTTTGTGCTTAATTCCCCTTATTGATAAATTTAATGGAACAGAAGCACTGCTGGTATCAGTGAATACACGCTGAGAACTGGTACATGCAAAGAGCAGAGATGGCCAGCACCTCCTTGCCAGTTAAATATCATCAGGACATAAATTAGGTACCCTTGAAAAATACTGACTTGCAGACACATTGCAGTATTTTCACCTTCACTGTGCTCATTAACAATTCAAACAGAAAATTTTTACTGTGGCGTTTAATTTTGTAAAAGCAAACAAAATCCAAATATCCGCACAAAGAACTTCATTTCAATTTGCTCTGCCACCACCTCCTGGAGTAGCTGCACCAGACGCCAACACAGCCCCATCTTACCGCAAGAGACGACGGGGAGTGACAGAGGACTTCTTCTGGCTCTTTTGGGCAGCTTTCCATTTTATCTTGCTCTTGATGGAGCAGAATCAAACCAGCTGCTATGTCACTCGGCACCAGATCTGTGTCCTGTTACAAAGAGATGAAGGAGCTCCTAAAGCTATCCCACAACTCACCACATCAGAGCTATCTCATACGAATACACACATGGCAATATATTTTTTTCAGTGTATCTAATTGCATTTACCTCGGAGACAGTGGGATCAGAGAAGATGGCTGCACCAGCACCTAACCACCTTCTTCTCCCCACTGTTTGTACACTTTTGTTACAAGACTCATCCTTAAGTTTCAAGTCAGCATATTCAGAACCTGATTTCAAGCAGGGACCTCTGGCTGAACACAGTTATGCATTCTGCAACATCTGGAAACTCAGAGTTAGTCAAGAACAAAACCAAAAGAAGCTTTTCATCTTACTGAGAAGTAGGCGCGGAAGAGCTCTGCAATGCTTGTGAAAGCCACTCGATGGTCATCGTCCTGCACAATACAGCAGCACATCAACCGGATTCTTTTCTCCCAGACTCTGGTAGCAGTGTTCTTCACATTGTACAGCAGCTGCCCCGACTGGCTGCTTTCCAAGTTCCGATCTAAGCCATCAGTGAGGTAAAATGTCTTTTTCCCCCCGAGTGGATCAAAGACAATGAGCACTCCGATGATGGTAAAGACAATGATAACCCAGCTGCAAAACAGAAGGGAGCAGGCTGAAACCAGGCATTTCTGACACACGTGTGAGAGAAGACAACTGCAGGTCTTGAGAGACAGAAAGCAAAGTAAGACATGAAACATCACAAAACAGTATCTGTTACTGACCATAATGGTGCACGTTCTGTTATCAAGCCTACACAAAGAAAACCCTTCTAAAAGAAACCAAAATAATTTATTAGCAATAGCAAAGCTGGAAACGTCTTTGCTGGACACGTGCAGAGCAAATGTAAGCGTTATGTTCTCTCACGTGCACTACCAAGCTCAGATTTGTGTGCGTGTGGCAGAGGGTGGAGCTCTTTACCTTGCAACAACTGTCCCAAGGATGACGTTTATCACAGTGCTGTCGCAGCGCACGCTGCTGTCCGACACCCACACAGCTCCGACAATGGCCCAGATAAACTCAGGCAAGTAGAGAAGTAGGCGAGTATAAAGTAGCTTGGGAAGTGACTTTCTTGGGCCTGGGTTAGAAATTGTTCCTGAAATAATGAGAATTTAAAACAAGAATGGTTTATGAACATATCTCAGGTACATAAAATCCTACATAAATAAATACACGAACTTTCTGAGCTCTATGGAAAATAAGAAGCTTAACTGAAAATATAAATGATTCCAAAGTAACGGAAAGCTATCACTGAAGCTGAGAAAATAAAAAGAGGATTCTTACCACCTACTTCTCTAACACTTAAAAATCACCCTCTGGTCAGAGACAGTTCTGCAGCGAATGCGAGGCAGCAGTGCTGGACCCACCACAGCCAAAGATTCATTACCACATAACTGCCAGTGCCAGCTTCTATTATGACTCTGCACAGCTTTTATTTGGCTGAATACTGAAATCTGAGACACTTCTTTGGTGAGCCACATGCAATGAGGCTCTGCTCCCTCATTTCAGGCACTAAAAAATAAACAAATTCACATAACCAGAATGTGAATATACGACCAGTTGTAGAACAAATATTTCTTAGACTATTTTCTGTATTGTTAGCTAATAATAACCTTTTCCTTGTAGCACCCTTAGGCAATAAAAAAAACAATTAATTTTTGGCTGGCTTAGCTCCTTAAACCAGTTTGCTGATGACAAGATAACACAGGCAGTGTGTGCGTACTCATGTGTAGGCAGCAGAATTTGTAAACATTTAAAACACTGCAGAATGAAAATGACTTTTGAAACTATTCTCCAGCTGCAAAGCTGCACTTCACCTCCAGTAACAAAGCTGTCAGAAGAGTCCCACACCCAACAGCTGTGATTCCCGCTCCCGTTTTGCGCACTGCCCTGCAGCAGCACAGCTGATTGCATGTGCACAATCAGATAAAAACTGTGGTGTCTGGAAACGATGACTTCCAAGTGCTGGTGCAAGAACCACCGCTGCCAAACCCCACACATTATAACCACAATTCAGAACATTTCACTAGTAATTCCACTGGAGATTCAGACTCAGGATTATTCCACTTTATAATGGTCTTGTAACTTCACTTTTACATTGAATAAAGAAGGCTCTTTTCTCCGTGCTATTGACACTTATCACTCCACCACCTGAACTTTGATACCTAAAACCAGCATAACGTGGCTAATAATTCCTTCCACTGCTCTGGAAACTGTAGGAGAACCAGCAGTGAGATTCAAGTTCAATGCTATCATTCACACCTCAGCTCTGTGAGTTTCTCTTCATGCTTCTTTCCACCTAAATAATTTAAATACTGTTCTAATTACGGAGTGTTGTGAGAACCAATATACTAGAAATTGCAGTCTCCTGCGTTATTCCAGAGACCACGTGCAGATTTCAGATTGCTTTGGTAATGAGATGCTTCGCCAGGAAAAAATAGAAAGTAACGATTTCCTGGCATTTTTAAAGCGAAAACGAAGCATTTCTACACGTGGCAACTCCAGAATAACAGAACGCGCACCGATTCCAACCGCCGAGACGCGCAGAGCTCCGGGTCAGCCCGAACCTCGTACCTTGCATGCTGACGTACACGAGGGCGGACAGCGTGCAGATGATGGCGGCCAGCAGGGCCAGCAGCACCAGCAGGTAGCCGTGCAGCAGCGCTCCTCCCGGGCAGCCGAACCGCCCCTTGTGCACGGCGTACAGCGCGAGGATGCCGACCCACCTGCAGGAAGCGGACAGCGAACGTGGGCGGGAGAACGGCCCGCACCCGCGGCACCGACCGGTGCGGAAACCGAACCGCGCCGCTCCGCGATGCGAGAGAAGCGAACGGCGGCGGCCCGGCGCGCTCAGCAGGCCCGGAGCGCCGAGCTGCCGCTCACACAATCGCGGCGACGCACCGCGGCGCCGTGAAGAAAACCGCCGGGCGCGCGGAGCCGCGGGACGGCCCGGCCCTCACCACAGCAGCCTCAGGAACAGCTCGAAGGCCCCAGGGAGAACGAAGTCGTCGCTGCCGATGGCCCAGCGCCTCCCGAACGCCACCAGCCCCGGCATCCCGCGCACCCGGGCGCCGCCGCTCCGCCGCGGGCTCCGAATCCCGGCCGGCCCAGCCCCGCCCCGCCGCCGAGGCCCCGCCCGCCCTCGCGGCGCAGAGCCGCGCACGCGCCTCGCGTGGCGCCGACCATCCCGCCACTCCGCGCGCGGCCGGGGCCGTGCGTCCTAACCGTGCGCGTGCGCTCGCGCGACGCCGGAAGCCCGCCTCGCCCCGCCCAAGTTCAGGCGCGCGCGCAGAGCGCCTCAGGGCCGCGAGCCGAAAGGCTCGAGCCGAGGCGCTGAGCTGCGTGCCGCCGGCAGCCCGGCCGCCTTCTGCGCTTCTGGGAGGTGCGGGAACAGAGCCGGGACGGAGCCTCTGCAGCAGCGTTCGAGGACTCACGTCTAACGTGGCACTGCTGACGCACGTCGCTGAGTTAGGCCAGAATCGGGCTGTCCCGTCTCGTTCTGGGACCCGTCCCGGCTGCAGGCAGATCTGCACGCAGCGCTGCAGCTCCGAGTGCGAGAACCACCGGGGCTGGGAACGATCACCATCCCAGCTATGGGGATACCATGGCAAACTAAGAGAAATTATTTCCTTATGATCAATTATATTAATTTCATAAAGATTAAAAAACTTAAAAGGAGCAAAATCCTTGTATCCAGGCCCCACGTGGCAGAATAAATTCATCTGTTTTAAACCATGCTCCCCAGGCTGCAGCTGGAGCTCTTGGAAAAAGCAGAACCAACTCACCACCATTCAATCAGTGCTGACACCTCTCATATCCCTATAGCTCATGTTTCAGTAGAGCAAACAATGATATTGAACAAATCTTCACCACAACTTCTCTTCTAGTTTCACACTAGCAGAAAAAGTTAATTCAAGAATAATAAAAATAACATTTTCACCATTTCATAAAGTGTTTATTGAGGATGGTAACACAGGATAAATCATGCAACAGCTCAGTAAAAAAAGGGAATCATTTAAAGGATAAAGAATGGTAACTGGTGCTGCTGATTTTGGAAAGTCTATTAAAAAAATATTAGTTGTCCAAAAGTGACATCAAAAACCACTTGAAGCTGAACATGGATGTTGCTTATACAGCACTCATTAAAAAGAAAATGTAGATATTGTTTAAAAATGATCACCTACAGATTACTGTAATCAACAACTTACAAGCCTCCCATTTCTATAGCTGCAGTGGTGTCGCAGGGCTGTACTTCCAGGCCACTTTAACTCCTTTTCCAGAACAAAGAATACAGTTACAAGCATTTGCCACTAAGCAACATAACCAAAACTCTCAGTCTTCACAACCTGCACTGCCAAGTGCTATCATCGTTGGGATTACCTTCCCAAACATCATGGCAAAACAGGAAAGGCCAATTTCTCACGGCCACAAGATTTCCTTATTGCCCTCTTGCCATCAGCCTGTTTTAGAAGGAGGACAACTACAGAATGTGACTGCTCCCCTTCTGGCACCAACATACACTTTAAACAAGGAACTCCACGTCAGCAGATGGCACAAGGATTGGGCACCAGCACATCACATCAAACATTGGTGGTTTTAGTTTTAAGTTGACATATATTCACCTTTTGGAAAAAATAAATATAGTGGAATGAAAATTGAATCAAAGGGAAAGAACAAATGACTACCATCCATCAAGGATGCACATGTTTGTGCACTGAAAAAAAAAAAAAAAAGAAAAAAAAAATCAGTAATTTCAAAGAAATTCTTGAAAATTAAGAAAAAGTTTGCACTTTTTTCCTGGTCATAAACAATCTCACAAAAAATCTCACTTTTGGAATTATTCCAATTGAAACCATACACTGAATTTATTAATACAGTATAAGTTTCTTTATGTAAAAAATCTTTATACATAGTAATAAAAAAGATAAAGGCAAGATGCATCAAACAGAAATCTGCTGGTTGTTTTTCCTCCGTTCTTACAGAGCCGCTGATGACTACCTGCACTATAAAGAGCTGTGTTTCTGACTTTCTGTCTCAAGCATCTTCACCTTTGCTTGTGATAAGGATTGTTCTGTCCAAGCATCCAAAAGGACAGATGCTGGTGATGTTTTTTTGGCACTTACGCTGGCAAACTGAGCTTCTTTCCCTTGAGTACTGTAGGAAAGGAAAAATTGAAAAGTTAGCAATACAAACATGTGACCAAGAAACACAACTGTTAGAACTTCAGAGCGATCAAAACCTACTGGTCACTTTGGTACAACAGGTACACTGCCCTTAGTTCTCCCAGACTTGCCTCTCTATTCAATACAGACGAGCGAAACGACAATCAGGTCAGAATTCCAGCCCTGCCCTCTCACAACACCCTGCCATTCTCACTTTCCAGCATCACTGGACATGCTATCCCGTGACTGCGGTTTTTTAGAGTAATGCCTAACACCACATTTACATAGTTTTGTGATTATACGATGGATGCTGGAATACCAATGACATCAGAATTAGTAAAAGATCCAACAGAAACCACTGCTTCTATGCTTAGCATCTGCAGACACATACAACCACCTCTGGGCTCCAACAGTATTTAAAATGCCTTAGGAAGTTGTCTGTAAGAGTAACACCTGCACAAAAAGTACTTTGTCAGTAGAAGTATGAGGATCATGCTTGTTGACAGAGAAAACTGCAACCTGTATTTAGTCATACTTATTTTCACATTTGTCAATAAAATTCAGACTGTTTACACATTTATCTCTGAACTTGTAGAATGTGTTCCTGATAAATCTAAAAAGATTACAGTAATAACTTGCATACAGAATTAACAACTATGCAGTAATGTCTATGAAGCGGATATGCATCTGCATAGTGCTACACTTCGTTACCTGCAGCTGCAAGTTATCACACTACTCACCTTTTGTAACATACAAATAGAAGAAGTCACAGTAAAGAACAGTCTGGACCACACCAGCAACAACCGCTATGAGGTCAAAAAATCCCTCAAAATAGTAGCGCCAAATCCAGTTGACCAAGTACAAGGCACGGTACAGACCAAGGAAGAAAAGGTAGTGAGTAGTGATGGTCTCCGCTTCCCCAGTTTTGCTGATCATAAAGAGCTGGGGGAGAATGGCGACAGATTCAAGGTAGATGGAGAAAGTCCACAATATCTGGAACGAAAAAAAAACCACAGATTATTCAACTGTCACACTGTTAACAGAAGCACAGGAGGTATCCAAACTGCCTTCTCATTCCTATCAACCAAAATCACTCTACTGGGAACAGGCACAGTACTTTGACTACCCTTGATACAGTAAAAAAAATAAATAAAAGCTTCATAATCAGCCCTGGAATGGTACAAGTAACTAGCCTTCAGACACCACTCTCCCAGTATGTGGGGAGCTTGCTGATACAAGTTTACCCATCCATCAGTTCAGGATATGCAACACCATTAAATACAGCTCACAACGCTGCTGCTCTGAAAAGCTGTGTGGAAGATGAAGTCCTTCTTCTTCCCCATTCTAAAATTTTAAATCAATTGACTGGTTTAAGGAATGAATTAAGGCAGTACAAAATTTAAAACAATATCTCAAAATGTTGCTCAAATTCTTTTGCTAGTTAAACCATGGAATTCCAATGAATATAAGAAGATCAGTCCACTTAAAAAGAACATATAAAGATATCTCTATTCCGGGTAAACACTGACCTGAACTCTGTAGTACATGTTCCTTTTCTGACAGAAGAACATCTAGCTGCATCTCAAACATAACAGTCCCTTCTAACACTCTACGCTACTTATGTTTCTACAAAACTAACAAGTATTAAAACTTCTTTTGGTTTCAGCAGGGGGCACCAAAGACTCACATTCTGGGTTATTTCCTTAACAAACATAACCAAAAGGAGGGATTCTTTTGAATTTGAGTGTCAAGACAGCTTTCTGCTTAATAAAATACTCAATAACATTAGTCTCCCAAAGTGCTTTAAGTTCTCTGCGACAACTAGACAGTAAAGATGCATTGCAGAATTGGCCTGGACATACTAAACACAGGCATCTTTCATTCTGCTAAAAAACATTCACCGTCATGTACTACAGATCTTGGAAAATGAAGTGCAACCTCCTGCCCATAACCAACTCACCTCCAGAGGAGAGAAGTCATGATTGACAAGAAACGAGAGTCCACCAACAGGAACTATCAGAAACTCCACCCTGAACGTATCATGGTTTCCATCATAGGTGGCCTTAAATTTCATGTAGATCAGGTACACGGTGGCATATGAGCAGGCAATGTAGATAAGCTAAAGAGTGAGGAAAGAAAAAGAAATACCCACAAGGTTGCAGGATTACATTAAACCCACTGAACAAAGCTATTCCCAGGTACTAGGAGGAATAAGCTGTCTTTTTCAGTTTGTATTTTTTGCTTACATGCTTCTGCAATTTCAATTTCATGCTACGTGGTGGTATTCAGCTTTTCTCAGCAGGGAATAATTCAAAACCAATGAGCCAATGATGTTTTAAAGTGTCACCTTGCCTCTGGATGAAGTGACTGTCAGAAGTTTCTTCCTGTCAGAGCTCATTCCTTGAGCAGAAACAACTGCAGCACTGACTGGAAAAGGAAGACTGCTTCTGCTACTGCAAGGGCAGCAGCGGCTCCATCACTGAAGCTACGTATCTACGTGTGCATACATACAGTAGGGAGAGGTCTTTTTTTTTTTTTTAAATTCAAAAAGTTTAGGGGTGTGGTGGCTCATGTGGCAATTAAAAAGGTACTGAATCAAGCCCCACCTCAACTCAGCTATGTAACATAAAACAAAACAGCTCATTTGATTTACAGCTTTAAACATCTCCTACATCTGCAGAGCCAGTGCTCTCTGAAACCAACAGGCCATGAAACCAAAAGTTAAAAGACTGCCAGAAGCACTGAAGAGGAACTCAGTTTCAATTTCAGTTGATGTCAAACCTTACCATTTTTAATTGTTACAGCACAGCAGACTTTATACTTATTCCCCATGGGACAGGTAAGTAGCCTTATTTTACAGGTAAGTAACCAGAATCAGAGATAATACCTCACTTCCTGAAGGGCACTCTGCCAGCACCAGGACAATTTAGTACAATACATTAAGACAGTCTAGCATCTGCCTCAGTTTCACCATAAAGAAAACTGTTCCAAAAACCTAATTATATTTGGTATAGGACATTCACAATGGAAAAGAAACAGATTTAATCAAACAAAACAACAGTAAAATCATAGCTTGCAGGTGGCACAGTCTCCCCAGGGCAGCGGTCACAGCCCCAGGATGCTGGAGTTCCAATAGTGTTTGGACACTTCAGACATGGGGTTTGGTTTTGGGGGGTCCTGAGTGGAGGGAGGATCTGGATGCGACAATCCCTGTGGGTCCCTTCCAACTTAGGATGTTCTGTGATTCTTTGGCAAGATACCACATCTAAGGAATCCCTACCCCAACTGTAGGCTAATGATAATAGGTGCAGTCAGAGAAGGCACTAAGAAGTGCCAGTGAACCCCAGCCCATCCCAGAAAGTTACTTAATGAGAACAGTATATTCTGTGGCACTCAAAGTTTCCAGAGACACCAAAATAAAAGAAATGCAGCCTACACTCAGAGGTACTATGAGAAATGGACTGTGTGATACGTAATGCTACAAACCACAAAAACTGAAGTCTGCAAGTCAGGAAGAAAGGCAGTTAGTACCAACTTGCTTATACTCCCAGAGCACAGAACAAAATCATACTTTTTATATATCCAATGACTACTTCCAGATAAGCACATTTCAAGTTGGTACCTACAGTTTAATTAATACTGCTTTAAAAAAAAAACAAACACAAACAACAGCAAGAAAACAGAAACACAAAACCAAACCTGAAGGAAATTCTGAAGCAAGTTCCCTTAATTCTTCAGTATTATCCATATTATTAACTATCTAGCCTTTCCTTCTGGTAAAGTTACATTATCCTCTAAGCTAAACTGAACTAAACTAAAACTGAAAAGCGTCACCAAAAATCCTAGAATAAAAGAAGTGGATTACAGTGTCTGTTCTGGTGCCACCAATGCCAAACAAGCTGTACTCTTCCAGTCTGCTGCTTTATTTTCTTGTACTGGGCATCAGTATTTGCAGAAATAGAGCCAACAAAACCAAATCTGGGCTGACTAACGTTCAGCTGACAAGCACAAGGGTATAAATCAGATGGAAGCCACATTCTTGAAGTGAACTCCTGAAAACTTCTGATCAGCTTCTGACAAAATGTTAGCAGCAATTCTAGCTACACGCTTCGAATACCAGTTTCCCTTGTAGAAAGAGATTTTTCTTTAGCCTTTTCTAACGTCTCAAATGAGAAATACAATTTATTTAAACCATTTTTGCCAAGGGCTTTTATTTTCAATAACCAAAGAGGCATTTGTTGTAAATGTCACAGTCCCCACTCAAAGTTTTAAAATAACTGCATGCAGAGTGTAGAAAGAGAGCTTCAAGTCCATTTTCCACACTGTTTACCCAGCTACACAGTGGGCATTTAAAGATGCCTCACTTCATAAAGTTATGCATGCTGCATGCAGCAATACCAGCTTTTCTGACTTTCCAGTATACTCTACCTTCATAGATGTGTTATACAATGAAATGAATGAAGTGAAGAGGTCCAGATAGCGGGTAGTGAAGACCAGTGCAAACAGAAGCTGGCTTTTCCCAGAAATACCTAAAGCAATAAAGGAAATAATTAATTATTTTAAAACACTTGATGCCAAGGCTGAGGAAGAATATATCCCTTATTTCTATGCAATTGATCACAAAATTAAGACAAAATCTGAGTTTCCAGGGCAAAGCTGTACAAACAGAACTGTACGTTCACCTCCTTCAGTAGCTCAGCTGTAAGTTACCTACACATTACTGTACTGGAAAAGTTGCTAGCACTACTCAGAAGTCACTCACAGTAGCCTCTATTTTCTCCAGAGCTATGAGCTGCTTGTTCTGCATTATCCTTGGGCACCACACAGCAAGGCTGCACTAGTGCTCAAACTCCAGTGTTACCAAGAGGTATCTCTACCTGGAATGATATAAGTACCACAGACCCAGAGATGACCAGGAAGTGCGCTAGCACCAGTTGTGTGGCTTTAAAGGAACTGTCTGATGTGAAGACTCAAGGTAATTCAATTCTGAATCTCAACTGGCCAAATGGCAGGAAAAAAAAAAAAAAAATCAAAAATAGACGTTACTACATAAAAGTATTTAAAAAGGATCATGAGCTGAAGTAACAGCCACCTACACAGCCTCTTCAAAGCAGCTTTCAGCTTCAGGCCAAAGCCCAGATGCCAGCCTCAGTACTTTGGCCACTCAAGTTTCTGCAGCCAGCGACAACCACAGCACCACTGACTGACTGAACACCCCACAAAAGTTCTGCATCATCAACCACTAAAAGCTTCTGAAGACTGAAGAGAAGCATCATTCCCTAACACTGATGTAAAACCACCAAGCTTTTATCTTGCTATTCCAATTATTCTTGTTTTCAGTCATCCAGGGTGAAAATAGATTGATTTGTTTAGCTAAGCACACAAACATTGCTCAGGAAAACAAGACAGGGAAAAACATTCTCTAGAGAAGGTCATGAAGCAAGGCTGAAAATCCTTTTTGCCTTTATACAGTGATATTCCTGATAATGGTTTTATTAACAGTGCCATAAAACAACTAAAAAGCATGCAACACGCTATGGTTTCACCTTGATTAATGCTTCAGAAACACTAAGCTGCCACAAATGAAGGGACTGGATATTTATACATGAAGTACAGGAATGGCTGAAACTGTAACAGTTAGGAAGGTATTTGTTTGCAGCACTGTACCTGCACCATAAGCCACGTTAGGTGAGCCTTACCTGGTGTTTACATAATAGCCCCCAGTGGTCAATAAGTACAGCAAACAGCAAGACCCCAAAAACTCATTATGGGGACTGAAAGCAACAACACAAAAGCCCTAGTTAAAAAGAACAGCAGCAAAAAACAGCCACCAAACTTTTCCAAAGTTAAGACAGCAGTTCATCTGACATTTCTGAACCCCAAGGCAACAGCCTGCAGCAGTGCTCGCAGCAGCCCTCCAGATAGGACAGGCCTGGCCCACAGTCCTGGGGAGCACAGCCTCCAGCCCGTGCCATACCACCATGTGCAACATCAGGGTATTTCACGTGGTGTTTTCTTTTAGTTACTGACCACACACAGCAACACAGAGCGTTTCAAACACATCTATTACTGGCCACTGCTGTGTGTTTGGATCCAGGTGTGTTGTCACGTAAATACAAATGCGATAATGGAATATATGTGACAAATCCCTCTCAACAAGTGCAGCCTCATCTCCCTCTAGAATCAAGAAGTTGCTGTTTTTATGAATGCTTTCAGTGTTACAGACTTTTGAATCTTGAGAATAGCCGGGAGTTCTGGAAACACACCACAAAACCAAGGCTGAATGGATTTCCAAGGTAAGTAGGGCAGAGCAGGCGAGGTCCAGAGTTCAGACCAAAGGCCCGCATGGCGCAGGAGGGCTGGGTGGGAGGTGAGCTCTGTGCCATGAGCAGAGCTGAGATCCACACCACGGGCAGAGCTGCAGGACATGAGTGAACATCACACTGATGGCTCTGATGACCAGACTATCACTACACCAGCACAGTGCTGGCTGACAGCTGTGACACACAAACCACACTGTCATTCTCCTCCTGCTCCTTTCATTTCCACAAACATTACCTAGTTCTGGAATAACCACATGCATTACCATTCCCTCTTTTCCCAAAGCCTTGGGCTCAAATTTTCACCTCTCCTTTTTGTTTTATCTTCATGCACTGAAAAACTTCAATTCCTGCTTCCAAGCTTGGCTAAAAGCCCCCAGCAGCCCTGCTGCCAGGCCAAAGCACAGCAGCATCCACCGCAGCTCGCTCCTGTGGGGCTGGCAGCTAAGGAGGCACTGCAGGGCACTCGGCTACTGCACGGCCATGAAAGGTACGGGCTGAAGCTTTTCTAAGGAAGGCCAACTTTTTGTCATGGAGCCCTCACAGCCTTTTTAAAGAACATAATAAAAGCCAGTTAGTTCAGCATGAAGTCTGCGTCAGCCACAGAACCACAACTCCTCTGGGTCTGCTAAAGAAATACTAACCAACCTAACTCTAAACTCAAATTCTATTGACCAAAAGGCAAAACTTTCCTTCAGAAAGATAAATGAAATTCCAGACCTACCTAAAACAGTATTTTCTGAGAAAACATAGACAAACTGGCAATAGCCTATGGCAAAGTACTGTGTAAAACCTTCAGCTTAATGTATGGTGCTGTCCATAGCAGATACTTGAAATTATGAGACAGCTTCATGGCCCAGCAAAAGCATTACACATTCATTATCTGCACTACTTTTTTTCCAGACGATTCAGCATATAATTTGCTGCAGGTCACCTTTAACACTTGACAAATGACACTGAGAGAAGCAAATCAATTCCCAGGCAGTAATTCACAGCACAAACAATCTAATTTAACTTGGAACAAATTAGAAAATACAGTCTGACCATGACAACGTGTGAAAGCAGACTATTCTTCAAGTCTCACAAGTTCCCTAATTACAACACTAGAGTCAATAACACGTTAGCTGCAGCATTCTCCACTGCTCCCAGTAATTATTTCCAAGGTGCTGGTTGGAGTGGTGAGCGTTTTCCCCACTCCTCGATGCAAAAGCTCAAACAAGCAGTCATGCAAAAAGCTGTCACCCTGCGAACTGTGAAATCACAACTTGATTTGCTTTTGCCTCGTTATCTGTTTAGCGTACTGACCGAATTAGGAAAAATAAAGAGATGAACTCTGTCTAACACTGACAATGCAGGGAGCTTCATGGCACAGCCCTGCTCCAAAGGAAGCAGGAGCAGCGTCTCCCTCCCCCAGAAAGCAGCGTGCTGTGCGGGCCGCCTGGCTCCAGCTGCTCTCACAGGCCTCCAGCTCTGCCTAACAAAGGCTGCAGGCTCACACAGATGCAGCGAGACGCAGAGCCGGCACCATGCGGCTGGTAGCTCTTCATGGATCACAGCCGACGATTTAGCAATCAGTTAGAGGCCTCAATTTATTTTCTAAGCTCCTACTGCCAGGGAAATGCACGGTTAAAGCACCTGCTGGTCTGCTCAGTCTCCTCAGTCACCAATACCCCCAAGGTGTAATTTTATTTAATTTATGAACTGTTCAACTGACCACACATCCGAATGACAGAAAGCCCTCTAACAATGGCAGCTAGCCCGAACCGAACACCAACTGGCAACCATTTAGGGGTTGTTGTTGTGGACTTTACAAACACATTCTGAGTAAATATATTTATAATGCCTTTATTCACAGAAATGACAGCTAACAACCAGAAGCTTCCACAGGTAGCAGCCCCAAAGCAAAACCCAGGCTCTTCCAAGGCACTGCTCTCCTTCCAGCCAGCTCGTCAGCTCCCCAGTGCTAATGCCGCAGAAGAGAAATGGATCTGGATTACTCCTAAGAATTCAGGCAGAACTAGAATACACGAAGCAACAATCTCACACAAACAAATCCACATTTCAGCATTCAGCTGAGGAAGGTGAATGAATCACTGTTTCAGCTGAATGAGTGCAGGCATACAGCTATGTCAGAAGATGGGAGAGCTGAGGGCCACACAAAATATTTGTCTATCTGCTTCTCTATGCTGGAGAAAACAATACCAAAACCGTGACAAGTAGGATTCCTCTTCCTTACTAACAAATCTCTACCAACAGCAATCCTCAGCCATAACTGACCCAAGAAAAACAATGTCAGAGCACCTTTTGAACAGAAAAGTGGGACTGGGTTACGCTGTACTAGACTGTGAAAATTACCTCACGTCCAAAGGTCACTTACGAGTCTCCTAGCTAAAGTCTCCTAGCTGAACTATTACTCCAATTTTAGCCTTGCACCAGAACTCCTCATTTCCCTACTTCAGTCTATATTACTTCCCAGCTCATTAACCCTTGGTTGGTTGCAACTCTGACAGCATTTCTTATGTGTGGCAAAAGACAGAACACCACATCAGGGCTGGAGGCCAGATGCTCTCCTGTCAGAAAGGATCATCAGGAAAGACCTCTTGGGCTCCTTGGCCTCAAAAGTGACATCCTCTGACAGCACCCTATTTAAACGGTACAGTCATTTACTCGATGTATTTTGTTGTTAGAAATCACACAAAAAAAATACTGTTATAAACCAAAGCTGTTCATCTACCGTGATTTTTCTTTTGCGCTATCAAGCGGTTAGCAATAAGTGACCTAATTCGGAAGCAGAGAATCCATGCTCCCTCTTACCTGTAAGGTAGCGGAGATTTCATTTCTCCACTCTCAGTTCTCTTGGGCTGCAGCCCAAACCCATCCCTCACAAATACCCACCGACTGAGGAGCAATCGCAGCCCTGCCAGCACCAGACACATCGGGCTGCCCGCCGCTCCTTCCCGCTGCCACGTCACAGCAGGCCGGCAGCACGGAGCGCCGCAGCGCCCAGGCTTTCCCTCCCAGCTCTGCCGCAGCAGCTCGAACGGACCCGCCAGCGGTACGGGTGGCCACGTTATTCTTACTGCAGGAAAACAAAGGGGTGAGCGCGCCGGCTCGCCCTGCACGAATCCCGGAACAGAGAAACTTCAAGATGTGCGAACTGCGAGTCAGCTCGTCGCAGCGTTGCAGCCCGCGGGAGCGCCGCTCGGCTCTGCACGCACAGCAGCACGGCCGCGCCTCGGGAATGAACGGAACGTGCTCCGGCTCCTGCTGAGGGCAGCCCGGGCCCGGCAGCAGTCGCCCCGGCCCGGCTCCCCATTCATTCGGCGCCGGCAGGGCCCTTACATAAAGAAGGAGGTCCCTGTGTGGGGGGGGCGGTCGAAACAGCGCCGCTCGGGGATTCGAACGAAGAGCTGCGGGCGCCGGGCCCGCAGGGAAACCGCAGCTCCCGCGGGTGCCTCCGCAGACGTGGGGAACACGCGGCTCCCCTCAGCCCACCATCAGCGGGCGGCCCGGGGCCTTCGGGGCCGCAGGAGGCGGGCGCCAGCGCACCCCGCCGCCTCCCGGGCCCCGAGCAGCCCCGGCCCCGCCGCCCCTCCTCGGGGAAGGAGCAGCCCCTACAGCGTGGCGGAGCCGAACCCCGGCCCCTCCCGGCCCCGGCCTGCAGCGATGAGGCGGCCACGGCGCCCAGCCCTCGACTCGGCCCGGCCCGGCCCGGCCCGGCCCCGCCGCGCTCCCCCGGCCCGCCCGGCGGCCTCCCGCACGCACCAGCGCAGGAGCGGCTCTTCCATATCTTGAGCAGCAGGATGATGATGGCCGCCAGGTGGGACAAGTCCCCGGTGAGGCGAAAGATGTTCATGGCGACGGAACGGCGGAGCAGCCCGGAGCCGGGGAGCGAAGATGGCGCAAGCTCAGCGGGCACCGAGCGACGTGGCCCGGGGACGTGGCCAGACAGCCACCGCGCCCGGTGCACGCTGGGAAGCGGAGGGAGCGGCCCCGCCGGCCCCGCCCCGCGTCCGCCCGCGGCCGTTAGTGCTGAGGCGGCGCCAGCCGTGCCGGGGGGTGGCGGGAGGCCGCGCTATGGCGGCCCCGCGCGCAGGGGCGGGTGGGCTGCGGGCCTCGCTTTCGCTCCGCGTTCCTCAGGTGCCCTTTAGACGAATAGATTCGAGATTCTTCCTTAGTGGGGGAATGGGCCTGCGCGCCCAGCAGCACTATGAGTGGGAGAAGGAAGTGGCCGTGTAATGCGGCACTCAGACACTGCGGCTGACATTTGATAGCAATTGTTATGTGAAAACAGTGATGGGCCTGGTTCATGCTGAGCAGCCCAGGAGTGCTTACAAATCCTCCAAAAAGAAAAGACAAACAGGAATTGTTCCTTGCACACTAGGGTTTTACGAGTCAGCATCTTTACAGACCTGCGTCCTTGAATCACAGCATCGCTCAGGTTGCATAAGACCTCTAAGATCACCAACCCCAACGCCACCCCACCATGCCACTGACTTCAGTGCCACATCTCCACAGTTCTTGAACACCTCTAGGGTCAGTGAACCACTTTCTGTACAGCCTGTGCCACTGCCTGACCTCTCCAAGAAGCAATTTTTCCTAATAACCAACCTCAACCTCCCCTGGTGTTCCTTGTCCTATCACTGTTACCTGGGAGCAGAGGCTGACCCCCACCTCACCACAGCCTCTCTTCAGGGAGTTATAGAGAGCCCTGGAGCACACTATAGGAGTCTCCCCTGAGCCTCCTCCAGAATAAACGATCCTGATTCCCTTAGCCACTCCCTGTAAGATTTGTTTTCCAGATCCTTTACAGCTCCACTGTCCTTCTCTGAACACACTCTATCAGTGTCTTGTAGTGAGGGGCCCAAAACTGAACACAGCACTCGAGGCGCACCCTCACTGTCGCTGAGTACAGAAGGACGATAAACCTCCTGCTCCTGCTGGCCATATTATTTCTGACACAAGCCAGGATGCCTTTGGCCTTCTTGGCCACGTGGGCACACTGCTGGCTCACATTCAGCCTGCTGAAGGAGAATATTGCCATCAAGCATCCAGCCCAAAGAAGGATCTCCTCTGAAAATACTACAGCAATGTCTGTATCAAAAAAAAAACAAAGAAAGCTAAGACCATTACTGCAGACCCTGTATATTTTTACAGAACCATGCTGTGTAAAGACTGCACAAAACTTCCAGGGCTGCAGCTTCCCACCAGAGCTAGCAGCACCGCTATGCTGCACTGACCTGAGGACACAGCTCCCTGTGTTGGCAGTGTGAGGCAGGCCACAGGCAGGACCAGTGTGGCCACAAGCTTTGCCCACAGGGCTAATATAACAGCCCCCTTATTGTACCAGAGACTGCAGTTAGCTGAAAAGAGGGCAAATATGAGAAAGACCCTTAAAGAATTAGGAAAAATACTTGCTTAGTTTTAATTCTTCTCCAAATGTTTTTGTTGGGGTTTCTTTTTCTATTTGAGCTACTTAGATATGTATTTTTTTATTTTCTAGTTTGCTTTCACTCCCCTCTTCACAGGTTTGTTTTTTCTGTTTCTTTGAAAAGTCTACAAACCTCTCCTTTTGACAGTTATTACCAAATGGGTAAAGCCATGATAAACTTGAATCAATAATAAGCTAACTCATTTTACTTTCTTTCCTCTGACAAGCTCTTCAGTTGTTCAGGGCATTCAAGATAGCATATTACTGCTTCCAGAGTAACTAAAAGCAAAGCTACAAGCATTTGAAACGAAAATGTAAAAGTTAACAGGTCTTTTCCACTCCCCATGAAGAGAAGGCCCTATACATTTCAGCCTCAGCTCTGGATCAGAAACTACTCTCAAACAAGAGACATGTTGTCACCGTGTCTGCAGACCTGGCATACCTCTTCACTTTCTGGTTCCAGCACCTCCTCAACTGAGGAGCTGCAAAAGGAAGTCATGCTGTCCCTGACATCTCCCTGCAGCTGACAGGAAGCAGAACTCCCTGGCAGCATGGAACAGGCTTGCCATTCCCCCCCAGGCAAGCTCAGCTTCCTCTCGCGCTTGAAATTATTCTCACCTTTCTTCAGCCCTCAACTGAAGCCCCAGGCTTCTGACATTTCACTTGCCTTGTCAATGAAAGAAGTGGAAGGTGAGAAGCACATCTGATACTCTACTGGAGAACCTGTGCTTCTCAAAGGGACGTTGGTGTCAGAGCTCTGGGTACTCAGGTGATGCAAAGGGCACTGCAGAAGTGGATAAAGATTGTCATAGGATACAGCAAGGCACTGAAGTTCATACTGCCTGAAATCAATGTCTCATGAAAGAAAGAGGCTGTACAGCATTGCACCTTCACTCTGTTCTGGTTTGAAGAATTAAAAACACTTCAATCATAGATGTATCTTCCCTCAGAAAGACATAATAGAGCATGAAATATTACCTGGTATAAATATGCTGTCCTGGGCACTGGCAGTTAGTGGACTGACTGCACATTTCATAGCCAGCTGAAAGGCTTCTTCAGCACCTTTTCTTGATGGTCTCAGGAACGGAATGCCAGTGAAGCTGTCCATGGATTTCAATGGACACTGCCTCAGACACTGATAGCCATCACATTATGCCGCATATTCTCCTGTAGTTTAAATATATGCTACATTCTTCCATGGATCTCTTCCTGAATATAACTCAAAACAATGACCTTCTCATCTTTGAAAAGGGCCCAGTACAGAAATAAATTGCATAATCTTAATGATCATTTTAGAGAGACTGAAAAGAGGGTGTCTCTCCTGAAAAAGTGGAATGTGTTTATTGCACAGAAAAACCTCTGATTAACGCAAGTTATGGAAGCAATTACATAAATGATTCGCCTCTTTCAAAAGCAATGGCATCAACGATACTGTTGAGAATAAATTATTATTTTCTCAGTTCATACAGGATATATCCAGAGCTTTTTTGTGGTCTGAGCTGTTTTCTGACATCTGATTAAATTCAAAACATGTCAGGCTCTGGTTAGACATAACCCAGGGCTCTATCTTCTGCATTAAACCAACAGATGATTTTGACTATAGCAATGCCTATTCTTTGTACAGTTCCTTTTTATACAGTGGCTAACACTTCTTGGATAAAAGATTACCAGAAGAAAACACCATTCTCTAATTGTCGTATTTCTCCTCTTTCTGGATTTCTGGTTGTCTCTTCGTCCTCCAAAGAGAAGATTTCAGATCCTAAGTGAGATGCTATTATATATTTATTAGAGTAATTAATACCAGCTAAAATTTTAGAAAATAAATGTTACCTACTGCCAGCAAAGCAAGAAATCCACTGATCATAATTTCTCCACTTAGAACTGCAATGTACAGTCACTTGAATTGCAAAATCTGAGCGTGACATGTGTTCTTGTATCATGAGGGCAAGAAAATCCTTATTAATCCAGACCAGAAAAGCAGAATGATGCTGAACAGCAAAGGGCAGGAACAGACAGATGGGCACTGGCTGATTGGTACTCTGAGCAGAAAAAAATGTAATGCATTTCCAGACTGTGTACTTGTGGGTAGAATAAACAAGATGTTAATTTTGACAAAAATATTGTCTGGTAAAGAACTGCTCCAGGTCCTAGAAGAGACAAGGACTGGCAGAGTATTTGAACTAGTCTCCTAATTTCTCTGTGTAGGAACTGATTAGATAAAGTCTCATAATGGACCAAACACTTTACCAAAATATATGAAAAGAAATACTTGAACGGTACAGTAATTTGTTTGAAAAGTTTGGCCTTTTTAAAACACACTGTATAACAATGCACAAAATACTCTTTCCGAGGAATGATTTCAGATTTCTGGGGGTAAGAGAAATTTAATTTTCATTAAGAGTTTGTGTGTATTCTTTGCAGATTTGTCTTTTCTACCCAGTCTCCTTCCTGTTGTACTAGGGAGGGAAGACAGAGCCCTGACCTCAACAGTAATGGATTAAGCAGTCCATGTGGATGTGTTACATCATATGACACAGGAGTGAGTATCTTACTAATCAAGGACTAGAAGGGAGTAAAATAAGATTCTTAGCTCTCTTGAGATATAAGGCCCACGTATCTACAGTCTTCCTAAAAAACAAATAAACCACATACTTACCAAAACATTTTCACTGAGATAAAGAGATTTCATTGCTTACACTTGCATTTCAGCCTAGAATATCAGGGTTTTTGAGGGAAAAGGTTATTTGGGCTGATCATAAGGGAATTGAGGTACTTCAGTTGAATGAGTTATGACTCTTCAAATGATCATTTACAACAACGACAACATGGTAAGAGCCAAAATACCAGCACATGCCCTGTGATCAGTGCTATGGAATTATCTATTCATGTGACTCACTCCAAGTAATGGTTAATTCTTTGCTTATTCCTGAGTCGTGAAACAAGAGTTCTTTGAGTTAGTGGGATCTCTCCCATATCCCCACACGTTTCAGCTGGCACACGCAGAAGGCATGGCCACATCTGTTTCAAGGTGGGGAGATAGAATGGGACTTCTAACAAGATCCCAGTCAAACAGGATGGGACTGAAAGCTGTGTTACGGGAAAACAAACTGGGTGGTGATGATCCCGAGACAGGCAAGGAGTTCAGCTATTCCAAAGCGCTTGTGCTTGGAAGAAATTACAGCACAGATGGCACAAAACAAAGAGCTCGTTCCTGCTCCAATTAAAAGCTCAACTCTCGACTCACATAACTGCAGACAGAATCACTCCCAGGTACGTTGACAGAAGAGTATTTTCAGCTCATATGGATTTCTGAAGCACTTGGTATGGGGCAGTCACGTATCTTCACAGTGAACTGGAAATGCTGTCTCTTCTTGACTATGACAGTATTTCTCCTGCATCTTCACAGAAGTGTACACAAAATTCAAGCCAAGTAATTTATGGAAACCAAACAACCTTTTAGTGCTTTCACATTTCAATGAGGCAGGACGATTTAAGATGAGAATACAGATAAGTATAATGCGTTTGATCCATCAAAGCGTTTTTTGCTTTAGTGGGTGCTTGCATGTATTTGCTGGGATTTATTTCTATTTAAGGAAAGGCCACAATCTATTGTTTACATGCAGAAAAGGAAATGCAGTGGGGAAAATGCTGATATTTTATCATTAGTGCTAGAGAAAAAGTTGCAAGGCAACTCACAGCAATAGTAGTTCTTTGCTCATAAATGCAATGCATGTAGTACTGTTCAACATCATGTCACATTTTCTAGGGTTAGAGATAGGCAAAGGCAGTTCCTAAAGCAGCAGATTGCTAAAGGGGAAGATGGAACAAGAAAGGGTGAAAAATGGCAGTGCTCTCACTGCTTCCTTTGCCAATAACAGTCTTGAAAATCAGGTTGGCTCCTGTTGCTGCTGCAGGAGTCACAGACCACCTGGGCCTGTGGTGGGAGCTGTTACTCCCAGCAACAGCAAAAGCTCACCCTCCCCCAGCAAGAAGCTGCAGCTGCTTCTCTCCTGCCTTATTCTTATCACTTCCCCAGCTGTAGCAACTTTTCAAATCTGCTTTCAGTGCAAAGAAGCTAGATTTGATGTTTGCCATAAAGAAATTCAAATACAAGTCTGAAAGACATTTACTACAGCGCAGCCCTAAATGGAGAAGCTGAACTTTTAAGAGTGATCAATGCCTTTCTTCAATTCCAGAATAAGGACTTTTGCAATGGCAAAATGGAAGATGGTACCATGAATTCTTGGCATAAAACCATGCTGACGAACACAACGATGTCTATTTACATGCAGCGAATTTTTAATTTATCTGTTTTTCCATAGTTTAAAATACTTCTATCTGACATGAAAGGCATTAGACATACAACTATATGTGATTCATAGTTATGATAAATTATTACAAACCTTGTGGAAAGTGCTGGATTGACAGTCCTAGTAGTACACAGTCCCAGTGAACAGTTTTCTCCTATAGTTTCTAGCTGTATCCTTCAACCCTGACCAAACTGTAGGGTCATCTTGTGATAAAAATAATAAGCTTTCCATGGTGCATTTTGTCACATCAAATACAAACAGTATTGCACTGCCCTCTGTGGTAACAATCCTGTGTTGTATACATGTAGCTGTGGGGAATACATTTATTAAAAATGCTTAAATAAGATCACAGGACTACTTCTTAGCTGAGCAGGATTTAAACTACTGGCCCAGAAATGAAATTATTTTATTGCAACAGCAGTAGCTTTTAGCGTGGCTTCTAATTTGCCACACAGAAAGAGCCTCTGTCCTGAGGCTACAAACTATAGGAACAAAATGCAACAGATGGATTGAAATAGCATGACCAAATAAACCAGAATAAAAAGGACTGGGATAAAATACATCAGCTGCCCATCCTCTGTGTCATTCAGGCTCCTCTCTAACATATACGCTTATCTTCCAGTAACTTTCTCATGACACATATAAGGCATTTGCAATTTTGAAATTTGTTCTGAAGTATTTGGAGGGATTCCATCTTACTTGTTAATGGTAAAGCAAAGGAGATACTTCACATCATGATGCCAGATGAAGGTGTTGCTTTTAAGAAATTAGCCAGGTTGCACTCAGGCATCTGAGCGCCTCTTCATTCTGCTCTTTGTGCTAAGCTGCAGATCTTCAGCACCTCCTTTTCGTAATCTCCAGAACACTAAAAATCAAAAAGCAAAGAAAAATATTGTATTTTTTGACATACCTTGATTTGCAGCCTTAAACACTGAGTGGAATACTAGAGCATTTAGTTTGCTTAACTAGCATTTTTACCTTAATCCCATCAGTGCTCTTGTTAAATCTTATTCTGTTAAAATTAGGAAATTCAATAAAATTCAATGGCAACATTCATTCACCTGGAGGTTATCACAGCACTTGTGGAATACAATCTTATCAGTGGACTGGAACAAGCAAAATACAGATTAATACAAACAACATGCTCTAAAAAATTGGACAAATTGATTGGTGTTACATGGAATTTTAAATATACTTTTGTTAAGGCTGGCCTTATAGTAAAGATAAGATAAGGTGCTTTACTCTTGATTAGAGTCTGAGACTGGCTAAGAGTTACAAGACACCTCTGCAATACAAATAAGTTCTTCAGAAATTGCTACCTCCATTTTCAAAGCAGAAAGGGGGTCTCAGTCCTTCACCCTCCCATGTTACTGCTAAGCCATTACTGTTACACGTGATATAAGTCTCTCTTATAAAAATCCCTCCAACTGGAAACATAACTTACCATAAGCTTAACACTCATGGATTCAGAAAGGCACGTGCAAGTGTGAACAAAGCACACAACCAGATGCTGAAGCTGCTCAGACGGGGAGCACCTGAAAAGCAGAATGCTTCATGCTTTACTTTCACAACATACTTCAGACTAGTGCTATCCTACCTAAGCCAGCCCGAAGAGGTGTAGCAAATTACAGCATTTCAGGCCTCCTATTTATATTTAGCAGCTCAAAAGATGACAACATTTGGAACGGTCAACTTCCATGCATGGCTCCAAAGAGAAACATTTCATAGGGGTAGTATGGAATAATAGGTATAGCAAGAATAATGAATGAGAAACTCAAGAACTCAGGTGATCTTTGCCCAGGAAACTCCTCCCCTGTGGCATATCTACAGGAAAACTGTGCCACGTGCATGAGAGATGTGGGCTGACAGCACAGGTCAGCTGCTTCCAGTAAGATCTGCTTTAATTTCAGCAAGGGCATGGTAGCAATTCAGTCCTCTTTTAGCACCTCAGCATTCCTCTTTTTTGTTCAACATCTTATCTCTTGCTTGTAGCAGTGGAAGGAATAATATTTGCTGTCTGATAGTGATAATCTCTCAACGCTGGCTCGACTGTATGTGAACTATCACTAACTGCAAAACATCCATATATACTCACCAGCATAACTTGTCTCCAGTATGATTTGTAATATGAAGAAGTAGTAAGTTAAACCACTGGAGCCTAGGCTTTCTTTCCAAACAGGATGAGAACAGCAGGGGGAAAGCAGGGCCCTAGGTCCAGTTTGGATAAAGGTGCTGATCCACCGCAGTGCCAATTCCTTTCCCATTTGCAGCTCAGCTAACCAGGGCCCCACTCCAAACTTTTAAGGCAAAGAACATGGGAAAGAAGGAGTGGGGAAAGCTCTCTGTTTCAGCCTGTTTTACACATGCTAGTGCTTAGTACAGTGTCATCCACTAGCCAGCTGACAGTTTTCCTTCATTATGCTGTGGGTAAATCCAGTAGCATCCTTGTAATTCCTCTTGGTCAGGCACATGATTGGTGGTAGGAGTTAAAGCTGATTACAGAATTCACTCTAGCCCTCCCTCACAATACGGGTGTGATCCTGGTGGGTGCTGAGATGCACGTTGCACTGGTGCACCAGCACCCTCCCCTCTAAGCAGAGTGGGAAGTGGCTGTACTCACCACCTGGAGCTGGGGGTCGCCTCGACAGCAGTATGCAAGCCGTGGTGGGTGCCTCGGGGCTGTTGGTCCTGGCTCCATCCAGTGCTAGCTGAAGGCTCTGGAGCTGTGATGCACTCAGATGCTCACGCTGTGATTCTGTAACCATAGCAGCATTTTCAGGGCCCAGGTTTGCTATTTGTTTTGGTGACAATGCCTGGGAGTGAAAAAGCCAGAAAAAATCATTTAGACCTCCAATTACAGACAGGTAAGGAATGAGGAGAAATAGCCTTCAACATTGTATTTCTACAGGAAAAAACTCAATAAAGCTTAGAAAAAGCTCTTTGTTAATTTATTTCACTGGGCATTTGCTGCTTGGCTGTAACAGCTTGAGAAGCTTTCTTTGATAACACTTGATTGGACACCGCTTCAGTATGTAAAAGGAGTTTCATTGTCCAGTCACTTTTCTGACTTGTGCAAAGACAAATGACACTGTGCCTCATCTTGTGTTTTCGTGTATTTCCTCTTATACCTGCTCCCAAGCAACCTCTCTTCATCTGTATTTAACCCTTGATTGGAGGTATCAGTAGGGAAAGCAGTGAGTTGAAAAATAATATGTTTTAATCTCATGATTGTTTCCTTTCTTAGACTGCAAATCCTCCAAGTTTGCATGTACAAGTTTGTATTTAAAAGTGAATATGGAAATTATAATCTTGTAGTAATTATGTTACACGGAAATTAACCTGCCATGCATTGGCCATGCTGGATTGCTTCGATTCCAGCTAACAATCTGCAGCCCCAAGAATTGCAGCCTTCCTGCACAACATGCCATCTCTGCAGCAACAGTTCTGCATCCAGGTTCTACTTTACAAGGGATTATATTTTCCCCTTCCAGGTAGGTCAGAGCACAGCACAAATCCTTCCTAATTTTTCATTGTCTAGCAAACGGTATGCTCCTTTAAACCTCATAAACTCATGTAAATGTCTGTCATCCAGAGATGCTGAGATGAGCCACTTTTAAACTAAATTAAGGTCCATTATACAATGTAGTTTTTCAGAAATCAAAACCTGAATAATGTATGTAGCTCTACAATAGCATAAAAGCTATGTAAACAAATTCTGCTCTGAGTCTTTCAAATACAGCAAAATGTTCTGGGAAGATCCCCTGTTGTTTTTTAAGCACATTTTGTATCATTATTCCCACTCTTATTAACAAGAAAGTATGCTCTTCACAAGAAATTCTAGAGGGTGCCATAGACCTTCACCTTTGCCTGTTTTCCAGACAGACAGTTTGGCAAAGAGCATCTCAAGCTTATCTAAACTGTCAGTGGTACTGTGCGAAACAGTAACTGTTCAGGGAGTTATTCTCATTTATGGATCCTGACACAGTTAACTATCTGTTTAGCTCATCTGGCCATAAATACATCATTTGACTGAGCATCTGAAAGAGACCAGACTAGGCAGAACATTAATCTTGTCACTGAGTCAAATAAAGTCTGGGCCAATGACCTCGAGATCCACATTCTAATTTCTGGTCCACATTCAGAATGGTTGTAATTAGATGTAATTCCTTTCTGATCTGTATCTGCTTGTACAATCTGTTCCTCAGAGCTAACACAGGGAAATGTTGCCAGATTTCAGGATAATAAAAAGGCTCTTACCTAAGTCAGCACAGAAATCTGTAGTTGTGATAGCATCTCTACAAATGCTAATAAACAGAGAAGAAAACTCAGATTTGAATACAGTGTGAAAAGAAAGAGAGTCCCTTCTGTGCTTTCTGACCCCAGGTCTTTGCTTTTTCTCTGATTCGCATTCTGAGGAAAAAACAAAGCTTGCTTAACATGTTTCATGCTCATCCCAAGTACAGATAACACAGTTTAAAGTTAATGTTTTAGATTCCTGACTGTCTCTCAAACCATAGAAAAAATTCTTACTGAAACCCCAAACCAGTGCTGCAGGTTATTTATACCAGGGTTAAAACAATAAAAATTCAATTACTTCTTCACTAATAAAGCTCTTACTTGGAAAATTTCAGCAGGTATACTTCTTACTGCTATTGGCTGCAAATATGGCATCAGGTTTTTATCAAAAGCTTTTAATTCATCCTCATTCAAACCACCTGCAAAGATAATACAGTTTTTTTTATTAGATTGACTTTTAGGGTAACACTTGTGCAAAATATCTAATAAATGTATTTCTTCCATATGTTTCATTGAGGAATACTGGTTCTTAATCTTGTTGTTTCTTACACTGTGTTCAGACATCACAAGTCCTTAGCCACTGGTATGGAGCGTACTCTAACTGAAGGACCACTAAATAACTCTTGTGGTTGTAAAAGAGACAGCTGAGGGGAGATCTGAGAAAAATCTATGAAGTCATAAGCAGTGTCGTTAGAGAATGTTTCTTCATAGTCTCCTCTAAGACAGGAAGACTTAGGGAGCATTAACTGAAATCATTGGAAGGCTTTAAAAAAAGGAGGTACCTTATGGAGACTACCACAAACTTTTCCTTAGTGCTAATTGCTGAATGCCCATCCCAGCAGGTGACTCCTCTCTGGAAAAAAATTCCTTTTGCCAGTCTTGAAAAACACACCGCTACTCGAACCTTTCACTCAACACTTAATAACACTGCCTCACAACTATCACCATCTGCAGTCTGAAACTTGTTACCTGCTATAGTACCAATTTCCTGTAACACAGAGCCATTCCAGCTGGTCGCAGTTCCAAACACAGACTCTGTTATCTTCTTAAACTGCCTCAGAACAGGGGTGCTACACAGCAAGAGGCCAATTCTTGCGACAGCAGCACTGCAAAAGACAAGGTTAATGTGAAATGCTGCAAATGCATGCAGTATTAAAAGTGCCTGGAATATAGTCTGTAGTAGCAAGAATGTAAACCCATTTCTGAGTTAAAATATATGTACAAACATTGCAAGCAAATGTTGAACGCCTGGAGCAAAAACCCAGGTTTCACAAAATCATAGAGTTTGGAAGGGACCTCTGGAGATCATGTAGCCCAACCCCCTGCTAAAGCAGGTTCCCTACAGTAGGTTGCAAGGTCTCTGAGTGCATTACTTGAGTGGTGGGATACAAATGGCAGAGGAAATTTAAAATGACTGTGTTTTAAACAGCCACTGTATGCTTTCTGTAACAGATACTGCCTTCCTTAAAGCATTTAGGATGCAAACAAAAAGAGCCCTTTAGGCTCTATGAATCTTCAAGGAAAACAAGTTTGCATTTCATCAATAGAGATACTAACAATTCTGTTATGTTTCAAATGCTGTACCTGAATTCAGCAGTCCTTATGGACATGATTTCGGTGGAGTTCAGAGCACAGAGAATAGCTCCCAATCCAACTAAATCAAAGCTTTTTAGTGTACTCATTGTTTGCCCAGAATCTTCTAGAAAACTTTGCAAAATAGATCTTGCCTGCAAAAATATAAAGATAAAAGGTGTGAATGGAGTAAATATAATTGAAGATTTTGTTACCAGCAGCCCAAATTCTAACTGGAAGCTATGGAGGGTTACAAAGGGCCTATATATAATCCCGAGCCTTCCAATATAATTAATAAGAGCTCTGTCATGGCCTTCGGAAGGAGCACTGGCAACACCTATTTGAGGCACTTAAGCAGAGTGTTTATATGGCCATTTCCCAAATGCAAGCAAGTTAAAAGAATTCAGTATGTCTTCTCTTGGTCACAAGTGACTATCTCCCTACAAGAAACGGGCACTGAAGTGCCTGACAGAGCTGCCAAATTCAGTTAAATTGCTAGAAAGAAATGCAAATTAATTAATTGGGTTAATATGAATTATTTAGGCTTTCTAATATCAGGTTGTCTTGCCTTATTTAACTGTCACTTTCTTTCAATTTAATATGAAAATCTCCTGATGTAATCAGAAGTTATTCAAAGAAAGGAAGATGAAAGGAACATAGCATCCAAGTGGCATACTTGCTATCAACCTAGGTTTCAGTGAATGCTAGGGCTGGGCTGTACAGTAACTCTTCAGTGATTACTCTCAGTGAGGAAAGGCCTGTATCTTCCACCAGCAGCATCTCTTCAGGGACCAGTGTGAGAGGAGCTGCTGACCTCCTTTATTACTTGGTGGGCAAGAACTAAGGAATACTGGTCACCACCAGAATTAATACTGTTTGACCACAATTATTGCAATTAATAGCGATTTACATCCTCTTGGACATTTCATTGGCCAGGCAGACGTCAGTGCTGACCTACCAGCTGTTATTTGTGGTGGCCTCAGCTGAAGGCAGCCAGCAGGCAGTGGTAGGGGTTGCTGTATTGGTTTCCTCGGCAATCCCAGGACTTCAATCCCAAAGGATGTATTCAGTGGTAAATTCAGTAACACGCTTACCTGGGCAAGAGTCCATTCTGCTTGTTGACTGAGGACAGAAATGGTGTCAATTGAATGTAAATCTAGCTCTTCAATTTCATTTTCAGTGAGTGCCAGTGCTATACGCCCCAGAGAAACAATATGGTAGCTCTTCCAGCCTAGCAGCGACCCCCAGACCTTTAGAACAGATTCATTGATTTAAAACATCTGTTAGATCATTGTGACTCTTGCTCTAGGTACACCATTCCTCAAACACTCCTTTTTAAAAGTCCCGATACTTGATATGTGTTTCTTCACACACAAAAGGCAGAGATTGGATATTGTGAAGGTGGGTACTGAAGTAATAATGGTTAGTTTATCTAAAATATCAAAATCAATGTACTTATATTGATGAGTTCCTCTTCTAGCTTTATTTGTTGCACAGTTACAGTACAGATTCAAAAGCTATCACAGACCAGCCCCAAGAAAGTTGTAATTTCAGGAGATCTGCCTGAATAAGGAATAATGAATAGCCATCAAGAGCTAAACCTGCAGAGCTCAGAACAATTGACTGCATTTAGCTGGGAATTACAGAAGATGGGAGTCAGTGGTCAGTATCTCTTAGGATGTGGCCAATTGCCTTTATGGAGAAAAGACAGTGGTTTTTGGCTGATGGAAGTAATTTGAACAAGACAGCTATATACTAGGGAAAAAAAAAGAAGGTATCAGATACCTGAGCATCTTTGCATGATGTCAGTCAGTGCAGGAGAGTTTTCTCATACGAGATTGTGCAAACAACTCCAGGTAGAGAAATGAATGTAAAAGCACAGTCCTGGGCTGAGCTGACCACTCCATGCAAATATTTTTTCCATTTTCAGAGGACTGGTGTTTGCTTTACATCTCACAGAACACAAAGGGCCAGATCTCTGGAATAAGATGCTCTCCCCCAGAGCTGGGGGCTGTGTGCTCTTTGTGCCACCACACACCCTGGAGATGCCCCAGGACTGTCGAGGTTCTGTTTCAACTATGACTCTCAGGGTAAGGATTTGTTTAAGACAGTCTTTGCCAGACCCTCACCTTCTGACTGAGTATCCACTAGATCTTTTATGTCAGTTTTATAGAGTCATAAAGAAACAGAAAATAGCCCAAGTCTGGGAAATTTCAGTCTTCTCCAAAGAAAAGACACAGCTAAAAGCATTACCTCCGTTTTAATGCTACTAATTGTCTAGCTTAGGAGATACACGAAACACATACAGTTATAAATGTTGTGTGCCTGTTTCCTGATATGGGTCATAAATTACAGAATCTGAGCAGTTTCATAAATAGCATTATCTGCATTGCTATTATAGCGTTGCTGAAGCTATCTCAGACATAATGGTATAAATAACACAGTGTATGAAAACTGAACCTCCCCTTTGTCCTCATTCACCTAGAGACTACAAAACCATACATCTGTTACTATCACGGAGCCTGGAGACCTTCCACTTCCAAGTGAGTTAAGCTGCTTACTTCCATTAAGACCCAATCTGATAACTAGAATTTTTGAATTAGTTTGTGGCCATGAGTAGAACGCAGTTTATTTTAGAGGAAATAAATCAATTTAGGAGAAATTAAATCTGGCTTAATCAAACCTTTAATCATAGAAACTAGTTAATAATATAACAGCATCTTCTGCAAATAATTTCAAAGAGCTGTAGCTCCTTTGCCTGTACTGATTTCTCATGCTTGGTGTTGACTGTAATAGCGTGTTGCATCTGACAGATTAATACAGAGTCTGTCCTTGTCTAGCAGCATTCTGTCTCGCCAGCACTCACAAAGACCAAATATACAAAATTCAGAGCACCAGAGATCTGTGGATCTTTGAGTTGAGTATAGGAGCATATCAACCTTGTTAACAATTTCTCTAGAGCAGATAACACTCTGTAATCACACTATTATGCTGTACTCTGTAAAATAGTTCAATTTCTACCATCTCAGATGAGCATTAGTTTTATTATTCTCTAGAATTATTTTTATTTTTCCTTTTCCCACCCACATGCCTCTGTGTTGACAGAGGGAGGCAGACAGACAAATGTATTTGATGCAGCGAGCTGTTGTCCTGTCACAGCAGAGACACAGCTGCAGAGTTAGTCAGACACCTGGCCAGTGCCCCTTTTCTTCACACACCTGTGATTTGGGAGTTTTAAAGATGTGCTGCCCTGCTAGAAACTGCCCTTTTGGGTTATCTAAACAAAGCTCCACCGCTTTGGCTGCAACTGCCACTGTACAAAGATGCTGCCCAGGCTCACTTTGGCACAGTCTTCAGACCTCCAGGCATCTGCACTTGTCCTACTTGCAGCTAACTGCACTTGTAGACACTTCCTAACCTTGTTCTGTCAGAACAATCCAGCAGAACCTAAAAATGACTTCTAAAACATTGTATCATTTCGACAGAATGGGATTCAGGAAAAGCTAGCCAGGGAGAGATGGAGGCAGAGAGGAGACAACTTCCATCAGATACTTGTGACATGAAGCTGAAGACAGCCTGGGCATGCTAACCTCTTCATCTCTCATTCTTCTGAAGCCAACACAGTAGGTACGACTGCATCCTAAGGCTTTTCCTAGCTGAAACATAAGTCTATTTTGGAACAATACAAGCAAGCAGAAAAAGCAGGTGACCTCCAGGAGGAATGCATCACCAGTCTCAGTGGTGGGTGAGGTCTGGCTTGTAGGAGCCCAAGTCAGCACTGCACAGAGCCCACACACTGCTGGTGCTTTGCCCCTGACACAGGGTACAGTGGTGGCAGCACCCAACCCTGTCCTGTGCTCTCGCACGCTCCACTGGCACCACACATGCCAAAGGCCCAGGGCAGAGACCTGTTGCTCACCCACCAAAGTATCCTCTCTTTCAGTCAGTTTGGTTTTATTACACTGTAAACTGTATCTAACATGAACGTAGATGCTTGGACGTTCTCAGCTGAATTCTCAGCAGGGCTAACCAACAACCTACAGCACAGATTGCAGGTTTTTTTCATTTATAAAAGAAAAGTGAGAAGCAAGCAACTGAAAAGATACTGAAAAGCAAAACTGCAGCCAGTAGCTCAAAACAACTTGCCTCTTGACTCTAAAACAAAGCAATAATCTTCTCATGTTATTTTTCTAATGAGCAACAGATATTCCTGAGGTAGGGACATCACCATAGCACAGTTACTTTAGAACTGTGTAGTTCAATAGCAGAAAGATAAATTATGGATTAAATTTTCTTTTACATGCAAAATAGTTACCTGCTTGGCTTTTTCCTTCAAGGCCGTAAGTTGGGAGTTGTTAAAACCAGAGACAGTCCCAAGAAGTTCCACATTTTTGTCAAAAGTCCCTGCATCCATGCATTTCAGCTCCTGAGCTGACCAATAGACATTTGCTTCTGCTAACTTAATAATTTCATCTGAAGAAGGGGCTCTGGTTCCCAGGCAATCTGAGGAAAAAAGGAAGTCAAATAGTAGGAGTATTTTTCAAAGAGACCAAAATAAAGAAATTGAATAGGAAGATTCAAGAGTTAAGAGGCTTATGGACTACTAATTAACTGCAACCAATGTAATGTTAATTATCTCACAATGAAATAATTTCCTTAAATATTTGCATCCTTGATATCTTGGACATAAAACTATAATTTGCCCAATTTGTGAGATTCAACTACATTCTTTGTCCTTCAAAGGCAGTGCAGGCTGAAAAAGAAAAGTAGTGTGTATTTCAGAACAGTTACAATACAGGATGCTACAATAAAACTAAAATCTGAAGGCATACAATGCTGAGGGCAGACGAGGTCTTCCAAGTTTTTTTCAAGACCAGTTGCCTAAAGGAATCAAACTCAGATCACTGAGATGGCCTCAGTCTCCATCCAGCTCCAATGCTGCTCAGAAAAATTAAAATATATTTATAGATCGCCGCTGAACGAACTCCTCTGCATTCGACCAGTTTGTTTCCGAATCCAGTTCAGCAGGAAACTGTCGGACACAAGAGATCCCTTCATGCTGAAGTACCCTGACAGAGATAGAAATACAGCTTGTAAACTTGCCTGACATTTAAACAAGTGGAGACAGCAACTGGATGTGTCAGAGAAGCATGGTGCTTGTTCTCCATGTCAAGCGAGTTGTTAAAATGTCAGGAACGAGAGGGTGCCTCGCTTACAGCGGAACGGTTTGGACAGATGACCTGCATTTAAAGATGTGATTTATGGGCAACTTCCGGCCCATGCATGATCAAATGAGAGATTTTCCACAGTGTGTTTTAACAAATCCTGGTCCTTCTTGGTGTAATCTACCTCTCCTTTTGATGGAAAATAGAAATTAGAGTCCTAAGTGCTTGCTTACTGCTCTCTCTCTCCTGGCACTAATTTAGGAAAACCTTATTAAACAATTATCTAAACCAAACCTGAAGATATGTAGAGATTATATGGCCATTACCAGTAAAATGCTAGAATTCCACAGATGCTGCGTCAGAGCTAAGCTCCCCCAGATAAATAAATTGAAGTGAGGATGCATAGAGTAGATTTGTACTATGAAAGCAGGCAGAGGAGGGATTTATTTGCATCAAAGGAAGCTGCAGTAGTGGGTAGAACATTGAAAAGACTGAATCTGTTGAGCAAACGAAAACGTTGTTCAGTATGCACTGTACCAGCTGACATTCTGCTCTCCCTGTACGTGCCCTTCAGTGTGAAGCTGCATTGTTTCACTTTCTCCTTCTGCAAAAGGTCAGCTTTTCTCATGTAAATACTGTCCACTACAATTCCTTTCCCCAAGTTATGAAAAATTTTGTTGATGATTTTTTGTTCTTGGAAAAACAAAACATTGATTTTACTATTTGCAGTGCACCAGTTATATTGGCACAGTTACAGAGGGAAATACTAATTAGAGTCCTGGCTTTGCTTCCTGCTTCTCATGCTTCTTCATTCTTTCTTCTGCTCTACATAATTATATTTAGTTTGATGAAGAACATACTACATAGATAACATTACAATATCTCAGTGCTGTGAGTTAAGCAACCTGAATTCTTTTTCCACTACTGCTGCTGCTTTCTGGTAGCATCTCAGACATACAATTCCTGAATTTTGCCTCATATCCTCCAATTTGCCTTAAACATCACCTCTGTTTTTCCCTTGGTGTAGGCACAGATGTATGAACTGTCACTAGCAATTATTACTGTTATTATTATTTGCTCACAACCAGGAGGAGATGTTAAATAGCAGGCTGGCATCACGCAGAGCATCCATGTTATCCTCGAGCCATTCTTCTAATACTGCATTTTTTAGTAATTTAGAAACCAGCCATAAAACTTCATTCCTTACTGAAACTATAATGTGAGCTGTGTGGAGACTATGCTTTGCAACAGAACTTCAACACCATTCTTGAAGAGCAGAAATATTTCTTGTTGGACCAGCACAAACAATTCCCTCATTTTCCATATTCCAGGCCCATTCCCAGCTGCACAAGCACACTCTGAGCGCAGAGTGAGCAGCCTTGGAACCCTGTCATCCTTTGACAAAGGCCATAAGCTTCACTGGCAGGTTTATATTGGCCTTACAGTGCAGATGAGACAGCTCTGCAATTGTACTGGACATGAGCTTGATTAGAGTATTTGGGATTGGTGGTGTTGTGACCAAGTTCTAGAGAAACATCTGTAAGGACATAACTGTCTTAATAATTAATGAGTTGATAGTTTACTTCTTCAGAGTAGAGTGAATTTGATCCATATAGCTGGGCTCTGATACTCTGTCAGCTTGATCCTGCTTTTTTAGAGCATGATAATTTGTAATGATTCCTCTGCTCAATAGAGGTCATGGTTTTGTCAGCCCATGTAAAAATACAGCTCTGTAGAACACTATCTCCTGTATATGAATACAGAATTGTAAGGGATGTCACAGCCATCATCCAGAGTTGCTGCTATATAACTGGGAGGATTTCCATGGAGGCACAGGGGCCTGGTGAGAGCTTGGACTTGCACCATTAGGCAGAACTGATGGGTAGGTTTTCAAAGGCAGTCAGTACCAGCCTCCCTGAAACTGCTGGATGCTGAGTGCTAATCAGCGCTTGCAGAAGCTTCCCCAACAGCAAGGTCATTCTCCACAGCACAAAATGACACGGCCTAAAAATTCTGCCTGGGTGAATTTAAGATATGGGAAGGAATTATTGTAACAGAATATAGTCAAAGTATGAACCTTCTACAGAGAAAATGATCCATCTTTGTCACCAGAGATTCTAGTAGATTGATTGTTAATAAATTTTAGATTATAACAAAACAGAGTGCCACAATCAATGTTAGATTTCAGAACAGCTGAGTCACCATATGCTTATGTCTGGCAAAGGATTAACTGTGTGTAATCTTTTGGCACAACAGTAACTTGTCACCTCCACAGCTTTTCAATTCAAAGAGCTTCATTTAGATTACAAAGAAGCCAAAAAAAAGGTAAAAATCAACAAAAAAAATCAATTCAAATAATCTTTTCTTCAGTGTGAGTACAAACATTCCAAGAGATACTGAACCTTGCAACGCAGTACTGAAATCAAGTGCTTCAGCAATTGGTCAGTGCATCAAATGACTGTGGGCAACAGAGCAAAGACTCACCGTTTATGCAAGCAGACTGCTAAATTACTGAGTGCTTGCTTTCATTTTCATTGTCCTTGGAATGCATAAGATGATCAAGGCAAAACAAAAAGTCAGTTTGAACTGCAAACCTGGCACTTTGACTCTGCACAGACACCAGGTAAAACCCACCTGGTGTGCTGAGATGTGGTTCCATGTTGGCAGTGGCATTGAAGACAGATTCAAATACAGTTGACAGAAGCTCTTCAGCTGAAGAAAGTGGCCCAATTGTCTTTGCTATTCGCAAAACGATATCTGGAAACTTCAAAAGGAAAAAAAGAAAAAGATATCTTTCCTTTTTTTAAAAGAAATAATTTTGGAGAGAGATTTGTGCAGACCTCAGCAAAATGGAGGTTAGCAACAGCTCAGCCTCCTTCCTCTTTATGCAGACGTTTAGCAAGGTTAACTGAAAGGTCAACAGCAGGTGTTTAAAACCAAAGTAAATTCTGAGAGATTCCCCCTCTACCATGCCCTCTGATTCTGGTGACATCTGTGCAGCCTGACTGCTGACTGACTAGCAACAAACTCCTCTGTCTGTAATGTGCAACATGGAAAATACTTTATTTTCTTTGTTTCAAATTTGTCAAATAAATATAAAAATTGAGCATCTTCTTTAGGGTTTTGTGATGCTTTGGTATCTCTTCTCTGCCCTGCTGGACACTTCCCTTTCAGTTATGAGTCCTATTCTATTTGTCAATTACAAGCATTAATTCCTGAGAAAAAGTTGATGACTGTGCTCACATATTTCTGCAGAATAATGAATTCCTCATCCAATATAGTTTACCCCTATATATAAAAACTTGTAAGATTATATGAACTAAGGAGGGCAAATAAACTACAATACACAGTGCTGAGGCTATTAGTTGTTATGTGTGCTAAACTGGCCTTTGGGCAAAGGGCTTCAGGAGTAAATGCTGATCTGATCAACATGAGCCCATTATTAACAGGTAAGAAACATAACTTTTCTAGTTGAAAGGCAGAGGAATGGGGGAAATAATGCTACACAGAATACAGTTCTAAAAATATTTGTGTCTGCATAATTTTAAACACAGCATGTTTTTTTTCTACATGACAGTGTGCAATTATCACTGTATATGTGCAAATAATTGCCTACAATAGAGAAGAAACCTCAGAAATTCTGATGAAGTCAGAAACAAGGAAGTGGATAAAAGCATGATTACTTGCCAGAATAATTATTTACCTAGTTTAACATTCAGGTTACATGATCTAGGCTGTTCTTGCATTCATAAACCCAAATTCAAACATAATGTTTAATACATTTAAACGTTAAAATAAACACATACCTTTTCAGCAAGGACATTTAGTTCTCCTTTTGACAACTGAGCTATGAATGGTCCAACATCTGATGTCGTTTCAGCTGTCCAGTTCTTTGGAGAGCTGAAAAAATATTTTTGAAAATATTATTAATGAAGAATGCTTGCAATCAAAATTGCACTGAAACTTCAGAGTTTTTCTTATACTTTATGATATAGCAAAGACAGATGATCCTGCACCAGTGTGATGATTCATGCATATTGAGCAACCTGGTCTAGTGGGAGGTATCCCCGCCTATAGCAGGGAACTGGATGATCTTAAAAGTCCCTTCCAACTTAAACCATTCTGTGATTCTGTAACATCAGACTGCATTTTCTCATCTCTCTCAGACATGTGGAGCATTAGTGGAATTCTCAGGACATACAGAGAAAGCCTTCAAACACTGCTTTGCCCTCTTTCTCCCTCAATGTTTGTAACATTCTTAGCATTACAGTGTCCAAGCAAGGAGAAACAATTCTTTCCAGAGCAATTAAAATTTTCCATTTTCTATCAGATTCATACTGCAATAATATTCTGCTAAATGGAATCCAAATAAGAACCATCATAACCAAAACTGAAACCATCCTTTTTCCAAGTGCCTTATCCTAAGGATCACCTTGCCTAATAGGCAGGCAACACTTGCAAGTACTTGCTTCTCTAAGTTAAAACAAAACCAAAGCAAAACAACAAACAAAAAATATATTGCAATACTGAACCATCTGCACGTTTACAGGCACTTTTTTCATTGCTGTTGGTCAACTGTAGCTTTCCCTGATGAAAATGGGAGCTGGGGTGTTCAACATTTCCAAAAAACAGGCCCATGAACACTTAGGAAAAGTGGACAGTTTCCCTGTCATTCTAAAGAGATCAAATTCACTAAGCAAATCAGGAAACAAGAAACAGGCGATGACACTGAAAAATTAAATAAGTACCTTATTATCTCCCTGTCCAGCTGTCAGAGCTGTAAGATCATCTGTAAGATCCAAGAGCAGATGAAGGAGGCTCTAACACCTTGGAGAGCCAGGTCTAATGACATCTAAGCCATTTTTGTATCACGAATCCTTTCTATGATAGGTACTATGCCTCCTGAAATAACATGCTAAATTATTCAGAGGAATATCTAAGAAGTTCAGTTCTGAGTGATGCAGGGTGTTTCAAAATATATGTTGCTTAGCACTGTGCTTATTTGGGCTGTTTGACACAAATGTTAGCCAACCTGTTTGGGGGTCAACTTAAGACAGCACTTGGATAAATAATTTTCAGCATGGAAAATTCTGCAGAAGGTAGTAGTGTAACCAGCCTGTTAGAAGTCTGTGTTCTCTTGGAAAACTTATTGCCCTGCTACGAGAACATCTGACCAGACATTTATTATTTTAATAATGAAATGAATAATGATACATTGTGCTCAATAATACTCCATTCATTCAAATGAATCTGTATTAAGATTGATGCAGGGACAGCATCTGTTGGAAAATACAGCGACAACATCACCAGAAAAATCCTGACAACTAGGAGGAAGCTGAATGAGCAACTAAAATTACTGGAAGCACCAGTGACAGAGTTTGGGACTAAAGGGATGCTTAGAAACTAAGTGGTTAGTCTTAGCCTTCAGAAGCAAGATATCTCTAAGAGAGCATGCAAAAGAGAAACTTCACATTCTTGCTAGAGAACAGCTTTGCATTTTGCATGACTGATACAGCAATGTAGTTCAAACCAGCCTCCTAATCTGAGTCATTAACAATATCTAACACACTCTTTCTTCCGTTGCTTCAATATATCCCCCTGTTTCTTCCTCTGGCGCTCTTCAATTGCCACAGGTGCCTGCAATCATCTTTTTCTTCTCAAACCAGTGTGCAAGTGTGAGAATTCTTCAGCTCCCTGTGCCATACTTCACCAGTCACCCCCAACTCTTACCACACCAGAGGTTCTTACTGCCTGCCCTTCCTCAACCATTATGCTTTCTCTCTTTTTTCCCCTGGGATTTAACTTATCCAGGATGTCCCTTGGGTGTAGTTCGTTCTGCAGTTATCACATTACACACTTAAACAGAAATGTCATTCTCGTGAACAGAGAGCACTGCCTTAACTGTCAGCAGAAGCAAGGTACTCCACTTAATACCTTACCCATATAACTCGAGGAGCTTGTATTTAATTTCAGTTTTCTGTTCGTGGCTGAGCTGTCGGCAGAGTTTGAATTGATGAAGGGCTGTTGCCATTGCCTTCAGGGACATTCTGCCATGCAGGAAAGCTGGAGGTAAGTGGCAGATTAGATTTCCAAGTAGGTCAACATCATATTCATCAGCAATGGAGCCATTCTGAAACAAGAATTTACTTTGTTGACTGAGCTAATCTTGGCTCTTGTCCTGTATCACTCAGCTGCATCACAATACATTTAAGCTTGGTGACCCTTTAAGGAACAAAGACTCTATAGTCTGCATCAGCAACTTAATCTACAGTTTCTGTTGAAGCCATATTATACTTCTTGCTCTTACCACAACTGGTGATATTTAGTACACATTTGTTAAGCTCCAGTGCATTTTTTATTTCATATTGAACCACACATAAAAAATAATGTAAAATGCCTGCCACAGGCTCCAGGTGACCATTCAGCAAGTGCAGAGTCAGTGCAGTTCTGCCTGCCAGGAGAGTCCTCCCATGGCCCTGTGGGGCCACAAGCTCTTGTCACCACAAAACTTCACAGAGTTTCTCTAGCCAAAAGAATGCGGGGCTGGTTCATGTGCGCAAGGACATAAATACTCAAAGCTGCATCAAAAAGTAGCTTTCCTTAAAAAAAATGAGCAGAAATCACAAAATCTTCCTGGTACAACTGCCTCTGCCACATGCAGCTCTGAAGGAGTGGCAATTGTTGGAGCAAGAGGGAATAATTGCAGCTACAAATGGGTTGGCAGGGTCAGGCTGTTCCATCCACTTCACTGTGGTCAAAGACATTTCCTGAGAATACTTTGTAATGCACAAAGGCAAAGAAAAATGTTTCCTTAGGCAGATAACAACAAAATCAAAACAGTGCATGAAGAAAATATAAGAATACAAACAGGAAATTCAAAAAACTTAGGCAAACGGTGACTGACATCTCTGTATGAAATGCAGTGCAGCAGTTAAGTGCAAGCAGAACCACAGGATGGCTGATTCTGGATGAGTTCTAGAGATTGCCTGGTCCAAACCCTGAGCTCAGTGCAGACCAGCTACAGCCAGTTGCCTGTGGCCTCACTGGGTTTTGCACATCTCCAAGCATGGAGACTCCTGTGAGCAACCTGTCCCAGTGATCAAACACCCTCACAGTAACAAAAGCCTTTGCTTTATATTTACTTGGGATTTCCTGTATTTCAGTTTGTGCTCCTGTAATCTTATATTGGTAAGATCCCACCTGAGCCTTCTCCAGACCAAATTACAGACAGAGGCATTATTTTGATCTACATGAAAAATACATGAACTCTCACTGCCGAGTTATTTCAAAAGCAACATAGCTCTGGCATAACAGGGATCTTTGAACTCTTACAGGCACCAGGCTTCTGTTAGGAATAAATTAGGAGCTTGGTAAAACTGCATATCACTGCCTATAGGTAAGTACAATCCAGAAGACCACACATTGTTTGCTGTACTTTAAACAAAGACAATAACTGAGTGTTAGGATTCAGCTCTACTGGTATTTCCAGTGAGTTATTTAAAAATAGTTCTTTAAAATATTTAAATTACATGTGCATTTTTTCCAGTATTTCTAGGCAGCAAACCTAATTTGGAACACTGTACAAAAAAGTAAACACAGTTCATCCTAAGCAAGAAAAGCATCTCTGTTGAAACATGAAGATTTTCAGAGTTTCTTTAAGTGATGCTACAGTCTTAAATTGCTGCTGCTTGTGATGGTGAAGAAATTGCCATGCTGTGTTACTGCCTATTGGCCTGCCAGGGCCATCAGCTACAGTTTCACTGCACCAATACAGAGCAGGAGAGCCACTGTCTCCGCCTGATGTCTATCTACAGGAGACCATGAGCATCCCTGTGTACCCTGGAGACTACAAGCAGGCAGTATGACTTTGTGATTCACCGTATGACAATAAACAAAGAGAAAACTAATCAGCCACTCTCACTGAGTTTGGAATTTTCAGCAGGTTCTGTGCAGCTCCCCCTCCACCACTGACTCACATAACTGTGCCTACCAAGCATTCCTGCACTTTCTGCAGCACAGCTTCTTTTTTGTGAAAGCCTGGACTCAAGAGGTCCATCTCAGTCTTCCCAAGGCTTTCAATGAATGGGACACACAGAGGGCCTGAAATGTACTCCAGGTACTCAATCCTGCAAAAGAATTAGAATGGTCTCAGAATGCAAACCTGACCATCAGATGCCAATATCCACACCCATAACATCTGTGGAGACAGAAAACCTCAGAGATGAGTCTGAACTTCAAAAATTATAAATTGTAGTTTATAAAAGAAGTGCTCAGAAGAACAACTCAAAACATACTGCTACAGATGTGGGAACTTAAGATACAGTAAGATGCAACTTACGGAAGCACCAAGAAGAAGAAGGGAGGAATAGATGCGTTGGAGACTTTCCAAAACTTCCAAGCCAAACAATTAACCTAAAAGCAACAAAAATTAAGATCTTTAGTATTTGTTATTTTTGAGGAAAAACGGAAATACAGCTTGTAAATTAGCATACAGAAAACTGTGTGTGTAATCTTCAGACGTTTCGAGTTTACTTTCTGCAGAAATCAGAGATGAAGCATTCTATGTTTGGGCGGATGAGAGTGCTAGTATTTTTCCAAAAGCTATTTATATATGTCCAGAAAGATTACTTATAGATTAGCAAGTTGGAATGACTGTAAAAACTTCTTGCAATTCTTAAGTACCAAATGAAATTGCCAAAATGAAGTATGATAACGAACAAATTAATGCATACAAGATTTAAATGAAATATGTTAACAGACAAGTTCACATGTACAAGATTTGGAAAAAAATCTGACAAAAGATCAAATTCCAGTTTACTTGCAGTCTGGATATTGAGTACCCTTATGCACACAAAGTCTTTTTCAGTTTTTACCTGATATGGGGAAAGCAGATGAAGATTATTTTCAAAGACTTCAAAATGGTTTAAAAAAGAGTCTGTGCCCATACTTTCAATCAGCTGACAAGTCACTCCTTTCAGAAGCTGTCCTGTACTGATAGGGAAAGCAAAGTTCAATCCTTTCAGTATTTTTAGCAGGATGTAGTCCTTACTCCCCACAACCAAAGGTTTAGTTTCTATGACTACCTCTCTTTTTTTGTAATCTAAAGGCTATCAAAACTTAAATAAATAAACAAACATAAAATAGTACAAAAGAGCCACATGAAGTTTACCTTAAAGTTGCTCTGGTAACAGAACTAGACTATTATCCATACCTTAGGAGGTCAACAGAAGAACTTTTCTTAGACAGTAACTCATACAGATACAAGGCCTGAAATAAAAGCCACCACATTTAAAGTAAAACTTCAGTAACACAGCCGAAAGATACAACCACCATTGCAAGGTTTCTGTATGGTTAATGCTATCAGGTAATGCTATCTAAAGACCTTAGCGGTGTCCAGAATGGTCAACCACAAGGTTTGGTACCCAGTGGTGAACCTACTCTTCACATCAGTGACCTGCACTGTGGGATGATGTTAAACACATTCCTGGCACATGGCCGTGGAATAAGGAAGGTTTGAAGAGAGCTCTGGAGGTCACGTTGTCTAACCTTCCATATCTGGACAGAGCCGAAGGACTGGCTGTGCATGCAGGCATCTGGTACACAGTATTGGAAAGAAACTTAATGCATCAGTCAGAATCTTGAAGATGTCTAAACTGTGCACATTAACACTTTCCTTTTCACAACATTGTCTCAGAAACCTGCCTTGGCACTAAGTGACTGCTGGCTGCTTACATGAAAACATGTTTGGGGCAGTTCCTTTCTTCTGCCTCTTTTCTTTCAACACATATGTACTACAACACTTTTCCTGTTCTCCCATCATACTAAATTGCAATGGAATGGAAAATTCATTGTTATTGTTTTTTTCTTTTTACCTGGCTGCTTCTTAGCTCTTTTTCTTTCATCATTGAAGAATTATATCCATTCTCCTTCCATAAATCAGAAAGAGATATTTCTCTAAAGAAAGCTCCTTGTATATCTGTGACCAGTGAAGAAAAATCTGTAGATGAAGCTATCTAAAAAGTGTGAGAGACAAATACATGACACTTCAGAACTGATGCTTAGATTTACAGGATTTGTCTTTCTATTCTGTGTAATAAGAGAGTACAAAAGAAAAATGTCAGGATTAAAAAAGCCTTGGAAGTAAGTTAGACAGAGCCTTCAGAACACACTTAGTACTAAAAAAAACCCCAACAAAACACTAGAAATATTGACCAGTGAGCTTGTTCCAAGTCTCAGTAACATTTTAAATCACACTCCACATATCTGGTTATTGTGCTTTTGTGCAGAACCAATCTGGTACGCACTGCAGTTTGTAATTACCTTCCTGAGGATCCCCTGCTGCTGTGCAGGAGATAAGTCTGATGAGTACTGGGATGTCGTGCCTCGAATGACCTGAGAAAGCTCTTTTGGGTTCATTCTGTAGAATGACTCAGTGCTAATACCAGTCACCAGTGCACCCATTTGGCTAACATTATAAAATGATAAAACCTGCAGAGATAACAGAGCAAACAAAGTCTTCTGGATTGTGCATAAAATACTTATTTAAAATCAAACATTACTAAACAAAAACGATTTTTTTTTGAGTACTTAATACTTTTTCTTGCCCAGAGATGCACTTGCTGCAGACTTCTTTCGATTCAGACAAGACAGTTCTGGGGAAACTGTCCCATTTGTTCCCTGAGGTTCCTTTTTTTGGAAATCTCAGAGAGGACCCTGACTCATTACAGTATGTTAGAATATCTAGATTGGGATTATGCAAATTCTGCTGTGTGGGGCAGTGATACAAACAAAATAACATATACAATTGCCAATTGCAAATATGCATTCTCCCAACTACCGGAGTATTATATTACTTCAGGAATGGTTTTCTTTGATTTAAACAAATTTTTCAGACCACTAACAGTTCTAGAAGTCTCATACCAGCCCTAAACTTTTCAAAATTTACAGTTACTGGGAGGAAAAAGCCACTCTGCTTTCAAAAACAGAAGATAAGAAGGCTGTATCAGAGGTACCTTTCCGTAAGAGAGATATTTACTGGATAAAATCATAATTTGACTTCTTGCCCACCCAGAGACTTGGTTTAGTGTTGCAATAGCATTATGCACTGCTTCAGGTGACAAAGATTCCAGCTGGCCTGAAGTCAGCCCAACCACAGCATCTGACAGCGATCCAAGGGTATCGTTCAATGTCTGGTTCTGCATGGCAATATTCAGGAGCTGAGATTTAAGCTAAAGCAAACAAACAAAAAATAAACAGATGGGAAACAAATCTGCCAAGAACCAATTTCCAATTACCACCCGAAACTTCAACTGGAGTTTTTGGAATAGACACTGGCAAGCAATTAGTGACCACACACTTCATTAAAATCCCAAAGTAGAACAACAGTGTCAAAGAAATATGGAAGAAACAGAACAAGAAAAGCATGAGTACAGTGAGGTAAAGAAAAAAGCTTTTATATTTTGCATTATACACTCAAGAACTATTTCATTATTTCTTAGATCCAAGTAATATTTCACTCTTATCTTTCTGAATTCAAGAAGAAAGTCCTTTCCCAATCCTGACAACATAGTAAGAGGAAGTACAGTACCCACCTTCTGAACCTTGGCCTGGAAACCTTTTAATTGATTGCATTTAATCATCTGATGAAGTAAAGCCCGGGCCACAGCGGCATCCATCTGTTCCATGTCATCATAAAAGCAAACCAACAAACCTAGCCTATATGGAAGAAATACATTAGCTGGCTTCTGAGATAACAGCTGTCACTCCCAAGAAAGTGAAGTACAGTATGGTATACCCTATGTGCTCAAAACCTGAGTGATCTGTTTGTCATTAATGCTTTAAAGCAGCAGGTCTAAAACTCCACATGGCCTTAAATTTGGAAATGAGGACATACAATATTCTCTGTATTCATCTGAACTCCACTCAGATTGTGCTGTAAAAAAATTTAAGTTTCACAGTTCCGTTTGACCACGCCTGGATTTTCCCAGCTACCAGATTCCACTGCCTTTGGCAGAACTGGCAGTTATCTCTGCCTGGAAAAGGACAGAGGCCTATTAGGAAGTCTTGAAGCGGCTCCCTGAGTTCTTATCCAGGTTTAGCAAGTATTTGGCTCTCCATTTCAAATCCTGCTTGGATTTCACTTGTAACATTAATATGGTGGAGCAGCAGCAAGAGCATTGCATTATAGTCTCTCTGTAGTTTCAGGCTTAAACAAAGCCTGCTGCATTTCCCAGCAAACAGTTCTTTATCCCTACAGCAGGGCCTTGGCTGAATTCAGAGCAGTACTGTGGCTCACTGTCTCAGTTGTGCCAGCACAGCAAAGGTGTGGCATGCAGCACCATCACAAAGATGGTAAAAATCTGCTGTGTGCATAACCTCTGCTTTTAGTTCCTTTAGTCCCTCAGCAACAACCAGCTTATGATAATGATATAAGTACCTACCACTTTAGCAGCCCATCTAAATTCTTGGGACGTCATCAAACTAACACACAAATCAAAGAAACATCTATAACTGCACTTTTATACCAAATAATTACCTCCTGATGCATTATTCCATAACCACCAAGAGCTCTTCATCTCCTCTGGGATTAGCAGCAATGAATAATGCTGCTTCTTAAAAGTAAAAATGCATTTAAACAGTCAGAGTGGTTAAAATGAGTAATATAAAATAAGTGTGTTGTGAAAATTGAATATATTAAGGATTATGGAGCATGGTATTTCTCTCACTGATTAGAATCTGGCACCTTTCATGAGTGGTAAAATCACTTTTAAGATTTTTAACATTGAAATCTAGAGTGTGGGCATAATTCTGTCACTTACATCCCCAGCAATCAACAGTACTTCACAGAAGTCAATGAGTTACATTGCAATAATGACAGAAGCTCCAAAGCCACATTCTTCATTAGTTTAAAACTCGGAAGCATTCTCTGAGGAAAGTACAAATAACTCCAGACAGTGGTGTCTCAGGACTAAATACATCCACTTACAGGACAGTGTAAATGTAAATGTAGAACACAGTACTTTCCTGCAGGTAGCTCTTGCTCACTACATATTTATGAATAAAAGCAAGATGCATATATATATATATATATACACAAATATATATATATTTAATTGTTAAAGTCAGTCAGTTCAGTGCTGATTTGACAGCCCTACAAGTGCAGGTTTCCGCTTGCACACATCAAGTCACAAGCTCCTAACCATAACTCATCTCTGCTGTGCAAGACTACCTGTAAAGAAGACAGCAGGATGGGTTTTAGACCTCTCCACTTTGTGACCACTCTGGTGACATTATCAGCTGGACGCCTCCTGCAGCCCTGATTGACATGAGCTAAATTTTTTCCTTAAGTCCTAACCATAATGTGATTTGCACAACACAATTCTCTTTTCTGTAATTCAAACAGCTAACAGGGCTTGTGTCCTGCTCTCCCAGTTTGTTTAGCTGCTGTACTGTACAGCTTGATGGAGCTTTGATTGGGTCCCACACACACTGCTGTAGTCCTCTTACTACTGACAACTCCTCACTACAGAGCCAGAGACGAAGTATCAGCTAATTAGGCACACCTCCAAAATTCATAAAGCAGCAGTTCTTCACTGTTGCTAACCAGGGTTGGATTTCAGCCTGTATTTTTCTGCTGGAAGAAAAAAGCTATGCCAGATCAACAATCTCATCAGCTACTCACTGCTTAGACTCTCCTCAGTTCTCTCCTTATCTATTCATTCTCCCCATACACAGCAAGAAAAAAACCATCAGTCTTGCCTGTAGACAGTTGAAGTGTTTCTCACATCAAATCCCGATGAGTTTATTCTGTCCAGGAAGGCTTGTGCAAGCTCTGGTGTGATATCATACACTGTGTCCAACTGCTTTGTTGCATTGTCGTAGCTAATGAATAGTCTTATCTGATCAGTGCAAACAAAGTCATTCATCAGGATTAGGGAATGACTGCATCTAATAAAACGTTTGACACTTTAAATTAATTGACTCAATGTATGCTTTACAGAAAGAAAGAAGATTTGGATAGTACAGTATTTTTGAAGGTAACACTGCTGAACTGTCAAATAATTTGAGGGTCTTCTATCATTGGTCCTTTCAATACAAATCACAGAAGCCTGATACAGAAAAATAACTACAGAAAAATATCACTGATCAGTCCTTCTGAATTACGTAAGAGAGGAATAATTGGTTGACAATGAATTTAAATTCACGTCATCTTTAAGAAATTAAAAATACATAAATTCCTCTTTCGCGTTTAAGTTTGCATTTTGTTTACACCTGTTGTAGACGACATCATTTGACAGTGATACATCCAATGACACTCTTCTACTTACTTCACTGAGACTAATTTTCAGAATTTCTTCCAAAGGCAGATGGACCATGTATCTTCCTAAAATCCATAAGTTTTCTGCACTGACCCATGAAGCTGATTCATTGAAATCTGTTTTCAATAAATAGACAGTTACTACAATGTTTGGAAAGTCGTTGTTTTCCAATACTATCATGCCCACTATGTTACTATTGGTAAATGATCACAAAATAGCTGCAAATCAGAAAAATCCTTTGCAGACAGAGTCAGCTCCCCTCCATTAGCTAGCTCTTAGCACCACATTTTTAAGAACTCATTCACTTTTTAATGAAACTGAAATAGTACTGCAAATGTCTCAAATTTTCTCGTATGAAGACAATCTTTTATGTTGTAGAAGCAAAATGGATTAAGTACAGGACTGGCAAAATTATACAAATAGTATTAAGTATGAAGCAACATTTTTTAAACTTAGGTTTTCCAGATCAAATATATTATTTGTATTCAAATCAGGAAGGCATAATATTTTGTAACTCTTGATGTATCTTACATATTATTACTGATAATACCACTTATTTCTCTAATATGCAATACCAATAATGCAGAAAATTAATAATTATTCATATATTCGTATGGAAAAAGGTTAGCAAAAATGCAAAATACTGCCTAATATTTAATAAATGTCATTTATCTGGTAACATTCTCAAAAAGTATTTTAAATGAAATCAGGATCCCTGAGTAAATAAATAAAGTATTTACAGACCACAACATGATAATAATATTAATAATATAATAATATGGTAATAATACAATAATATGGTAATATGAGCTAGAAAGACAGTGTTTTCCCAAAGTGTCCTAACTTGACTACTCAGCATGATATCGTATCTTCCCCACACCTGCACTGCTTTGCATGTGAAAGAGCAACAGAAGAGAGGCCTGGCAGCTCCCAGTCCCTCCTGAGCTGGGTGATCTTTCATTAACTGAGGGCTCACTGATGTTCCAGGCATGACGCCTGATGCTGTGGGATCTTCCCAGGATTGCTGAGCACCATCAGCTGAGTCCTGCCCATGACAGAATGCATCACAGCAGAGTGGTGATTTTCCCCTCTATGACTTTACACGTTATGCAGATATTTTGAGGTAGTTGTGGTCCCAGGAGCCAGATGTTGCTACACTGAAACGAGGGGGCACTTTGCCTTCCATTTCCAGAGGAACAGGAAGAATATACAGTGGGATGTTCAGTGAGAAGCAGATGTGGCTTTGATATGTTGGCATTACAGCCCTCTCGTGGAGCATCCCCTGCACTGTCCCAGTGTGGCATGTAAGATATATTAGTCAGGCAAACAGACATAGGAAAATGCATACGATTGGATTGGCTTTTTTTTCTTTAAATAATAGGCTCTCAGACAGGTCTATTCTAGTCTCAGCAGGAGTTCAGAAGTAAACAGTACATATCCTATTTAAATCTTAGAGAAGGAATTTGGGAACAGAGGCTTTGAGTACAACTCTGAGCAGAGGAGGTGAACAACAAGCATCTCTGGGGAGCTATTTGCTGTGATTAACAAATCTAAGCTTATTGCAGTCCACAGCAAAGGCACTGCAGAGAGCTACTCATAACAGTCCTGTGTTAAACATGAGAAACAACACAATACAAGAGACAAGTCTTTTGTTGACTGTTTCTCTCTTACAAGCAAGAAGAACAGGTAGTGCACAACATACCACTTCTGTTATAGGGTTTTTGTAGAATCTCCTTCATCCAGCCATACAGAGCTTTCTGTGTATTTGCTGAGGTTTTGTCATAGAGGTCCTTAAATACAGTTGATCTAAGTGACACAGTGGCATATTAATTCACTAATGAATAAGCAAAGAAAAAAGCACCCAAAAGACACATGGACAAACGTTTTTAGAAACAGCAAGATAAAAGAGGAAAGCTACAGCTGATAAAATAGTGAGACCAGTAATCTACTAGTGAGAATAGTAATCTTTTTCTAAGTGTACATATCCAGAAGAAATGCTACATAGTGCTAATTGTGATGATTGGAAAATAAATGGCTCACAAGTTTCTGAAAGCATCTTCCTGCAAATCATTTGGGAGACTCCCAACGACATCAGGTTGGAGATAATTCACTGCTGACATTCGCAAAATTTGGCTTAGGATATCTACACAGTCCATAGCCCTCAGAGCCAGAAAGCATTTCTCCAGTGTTATAAGAAACAAGGTTCTGTTCACTCCTGGAATTTGGAAAATTCTCTCCCGAGTCTTTTCCCAATCAAGGATAACATTTCCAATTTCCTGCAAACAACACAGGGTTAAAATTATGTCTTTCTGATTAATTCCATAAACTGTTCATTTTGAAGCCTTATAGAAAGCACCCCACAAACAATATGGTGCTAATCTCATGAAAAATAGCTGCAAAACACTGCCTGGTTGTGTTTCTCCAGATAATTCCTGTTTGATGTTGGCTACGGACCAGCTTGAATCTTTATACAAAATCAAAATGAAAAACAGAAAAAGCCAAATGGCTCAAGTTACAGCACGTACTCTCATGAAGGAGTTAGTTACTTGGAAAAATGAACAGATGCTGGAATAGAATGAGTGTTATTTCATATGTAATTTAGAATGTAGGCAACTCTAGAACGGATCTTTTCCCATGCAGTATTTTGTCAGCTGTTATTACAAACACCCCCTTCAAGACACCAGGCAACATCAAAGAAACAAGCACAGGTAAAAGCCAGTCTGGCAGGGGACAGAGCATTGGTTGTTCCTTCTCAGATGTCAACGTCCCTAGGACAGCAAGGTCAGAGCTGATAGTCCCAGGCCTGGTTATTTGTTACTGTAATTATTACTCCTCTCAGAAGAAACTACAGCCATCACTTGAGAAGACAAAATTCACCGCTTATTGACAGGGCTTATGCTCTATGCTCCTCCTCCCAGTACAGGCTATACACCCATCTGGTGTGCTTCAGCAACAGAAGCTGCATCGCTGTTCCTCGAGAAGTGCTCTCTGCATTGTACAGAGTTTGTCCTGGGCAGTTACCTCACATGGCTGGGGAAATGCTCTGCCTTTGTTCCAGGTTAATCTGCACCCTGCAGTGATGCACATGCTGGAAGCCTGCAGGGAGGATGCAAAGTGCTGTCATACACCAGGATATATCCCCACTGAGTGGCACTCACTGGATTTGAGTGAAACATATAAGGTGGGTCACCCATATAACACAGCACAAAGGCAAGAAAAAACATCATGCTGCTTCTCCTCCAAATTGCCTAATTATTTGCTTGTATGGTGCTTGAACAGGATAATTAATTTCACCTTCTTCAGTCATCTTGCCTCTTTCTTGCCAACGTGAAGAAACAGAAACTCAAAGAGAACAAGTGGTCCTACCCACCTCACAGAACTGTTCTCTGGACACGCATCTTTCTCCAGTGAGTAGACAGAAAATCCAGACTTGGGGCTGACACCCAACCTTTAGACACCGACCCCCCGAAAGGGGCTCCTGCAATCTGCTCCAAGCCAGCCAAGCAACAGCACAACGTGCATGGTGAGAGCCCAAGTCTGGTCCTTTTCCTTTTATCTAAGTTTTAGGAACAGCTCTATTTCTCATGCAGAGACTTACAAGATAGTCCTTTCTGCTGTTGAAAAGATACTTCATTGCAGTCTGGAACTGCTGTTGATCAAGTTGTTGAAATGCAGACAGCAGCTGCCTGGGCTGGTATAAAAGGTTCTTCAAGTAACTCTGTATGGACGTCTGAAGTATTAAAAAAATATGCATTATATACATAAAATTCATGGTACCCACTAGATGCATCTTTTACTCTCTGAAAATCTCCACATAAGGAGGGACAAGCGTTCAGCTTTCTGTTCTGCCCATGTTGTCAGTGACCAGAATAACTACAATCAAAACAAAATGGCAACAAAAATAATCTAAGTACAATGCTGGAAAACAATAGCTTTTAAAGCCTATGACTGGTATCATGAGCAAGTTCTCTTCAGTGAGACATGTAACAAAAATACCTCTGTTTTTCCCTTCATAAAACAAATACACTAATGTTTTCCTGTTTCATGGCAGAGCTGCACAAATAAACTCTTTGAAGAGCTCTAAACATCAGGTACTGTGGGCATAAAATTATTACTTAAAAAAGGAAGGAAATGTGCAATTAGACAGGAGGCGAAGTCTGCACCAGGTCATAAAGCAAAACTACCCTTTCTCACATCAAACTGCATTAGCAGCTAACAACCTCATGCCTGTTTTAAAACTCCAAGGGGAATTCTAGCATAGCAACAGAAAACAGGTTCATTAGCACTAGACTGGAGAAAATCCCTTCTAATTCCCACCAGAATTATTTCAGAATTGGTTAGGAATTTAAGTTGACACTGCTTTGTTGCCTTTGCATTGCCACCACCACCTATTAACACAGTTAGGTCTTTGTTATCCAGGGAGTTCAGGGCTGATTACAGCCTTAAAATGTTAATAAAACTCATCTGTGCAAATGAATTCTAAAGACACTGAGAGCAAACAGAAAGAAGTAGGGTCACTCTCGTGCAGATTTGGAAGAGTGTGGCAGCAAAAAGGGGTTTGAGGAACTGCAGGGCTGTGGGTCACATGTTAGATGCTCTCAGAGTGCATGCAGGGAGGACTCTAGATTTGGGTTAGTGGCTGCAGTTCCACTTCAGTTGGTGAGGTTGTTGGATTTGACTCCTCACCAGTCATCATGGCATAGGGTAAAGGAAACCAGCTTTTTTCTATGTTACTTCCCCAGTGACAATTTTAAAAAGCTATCTCAGAGGAGCCTTATAAGATGAAAGCATTTTTTCAGGATGCTCTGGAGCCTCTCATTCCATCTGAAGTAATGCAAACTACAGCCACAGTCAAAATCTTGAAACAATCTCCCATTTTATGGCGAAAAAGCACATGCCTATACTCAGTTCAGGAACAAACAGGAAACGCCAAATTTTTGCTTACCATCAGAAGAGATACAAAAGCACCTTATTGTTTAATCCTTGCATAATGTTGCAATCTTTAGGGGCAAAAAAAAAAAAAAAAAAAAAAAGGTATTCATATTTCCTACATCTCTGCTACACTGCAGAGCTATTAATTACTTCTCTTATTGACAACCTAACTTTGGCTACAGAACTGAGTAGCTTATTTTAATTCCTTTTTAAATAAAAATGTCAGTGCATTTTAAATGACACAAACCTGTAGGCTGCGAAGAGTAAACTTAACCTCTCGGGCATGGAAATATGCCATGACTTTTGTAACCATATCTGCTGTCCATACATTAGAACTGCAAGAGAAAACAGGACCAAAAGTGCCAGCAAAATAATATAGCATATAAAATAGCTGATTTAGTCAAGACAGTAAGAGAAGCAAACACTATCAGTAACAACTAAACGACACAAGTAATCTTGGCCTAACCAGATTAACAGCCAACATATTGAATGCAATGAATAGTTAGAAGAGAAATCTATTAGTAATGTGTTGGGGTTTTTTTTCTAAATCCATTTCCCCTCCCTAATAATATCAATTTTCTGACATGCTGCCAGGCATGAGATGAGCTGTGTGGTGGCTCCTCGTAATACCTCTTCTGATCTGCTTATCCAAAGTAAGGATGAGGACTAACTTCTACTGCCTTTTCCCCAGCAGAGTTATTAATGTCAGTGTTTCTTCTTTACACACCCAGATTTTCTCAAAATACACCAGGGTGGAATTGAGGCTTTTATTCTCTTCCATATTTAGACAAAATTGGCAATAATTACAAAGTCACCAAGAGCTGGAGGAAGAGGGATGGATGGAGGGTGAAGCAGGACTGGAAACTGACTGCACACTGGAACTGCACCAGTAAGAAGCCATTCTGAAATACATGAACTAAGTTAATTATCAAGATTTTTGAAAACTGTAGCATGCATTCAGATTCTCAGCCTCAACCTCTGCTTGCTTTTTGCTTTATCATGAAAAAACAGCTTTTTCCTCATTAGGACAAAATATTCCTCACAGCAGATCTAGACCAAAGTAAGCATGTAGCAATTTCATAATGTTTCAGCTTTTGTGGAAATGAAACAGATCAGACGTGAAGTGCACGATGATAATGAAAATCAAGATGGTGAGAGTAAAACATTACCTCTGAAAATGAAGAACATCGAGGAGAGCTACATGTAAAAAATGGAACAAAAGAGTTACAGCGAGATACTGAGTTTTAGTTCCTTTTAGCAACGTAAATGGGAACAATTCTGCACATTACCATTTAGGTATTTCCCAGTCACTACTTCCTCCTTCAGAAAAAAAATAAAGATGTGTGATCAGTTATTTTTAGATTATATTATAAATGTTATTAGAGAGACCAAGTAAAAATACTAACCGCAGCTTTGTGTAATAGTGGAGGCAAATCTGTAAAAGATCATCATGTTACTAAAAGGTGATGGACAGTTTACCATTCAGTTGCTGTACAAAAATGTTTCTCATGCAGCTACCACAACTACATACACACAATTTACAGTCACACATTTACTGCAGCTTTGATTAAATGTACTTACAGAAGGACGCTGAAAATAAAAAGCTATTAAATAATAAGTAATTCTGTCTAAATTCTTTGGTATAGTCCTTGAGGCCATGAGAGCAGAGAATAGCCTCCTACTTACTAAACAGCACTGAATCTACTTTGAATCTACTTACTAAACACAGCTTTTTCCATCACACAGAATACATTCCTGACATAGGATTTTTAGTCTTACCTTCAGAATTCTGACTGTGAGTAATCTCAGCAGGATTCATTAATATCAATAAGAAACACATCTTCAGAAGTCTGAGCATTTCTTCTAGTGTTTATTAGATTCAGAAGATATTTGGATTGAAAAAGAAAATAAAAAGAGCAGTCAAAAGGCAGCATTCGCCCCAAAGTTCCATTGCTGTAAGTCAGAGCCAGTCTAAGCTACCAAGTGCAGGCTGAGATCAGAATAATCTGCAAGTGCTTGCTCCCAAGCTTTCAATTTAGATCTTTTTCCAGGCTGGAGACACACTTTATGCAAATACAAGTCCACCAGGTGTGTGTGTGCAGCCAGGGATTGCTTTCCCCCCTTTTCAGTAAATACTTTTTCCTTCCTTGCTGCACTTTGGTAAGCCACATTCCAAATAAATATGACTTAAATGCCATTTAGCAATAACAAACAAACAAAAAACTGAACTTTTAAGCTCGGGTAAAATAGAAAAGAAATAGAGAGACTGAAAAATGAAACTCCAACCAGTCTTTCAGCCTTCTTTAGCTCACGGAGTTGCCTGCACGACCACTGCAGCTCTGCTCTGCCCTGCACTGGGCCTGGCCTTCAGCATCAGTGCGGGGTGCCCCAGGCAGGGGGGAGGAGCCCTCCCTTTCCTTCATTTCAAGGGCTTAACTGCACCCTGCTTACTTTCCCCATTTCTTTTTGTTGCTGAATTTGGATCTGTGCTTCAACACTCCCCTTCCCCCCCACCGTTGTTTTACTTTCCCTGGATTGAATTACAGATTTGAACATTTGATAATTAGAAACACTTTTTGCAGACTGTTCAGTCTCACCTATCTGCTAGGTACTGTTTTACAAGAACACCTGTCAACAGCCTCTAGCAATATCTCAGCCTAATGCAAATACATAACTCCAGCCTTGTAACAGGAGTGACTCAAAGTGATGGATGACAACACACCGAAACACTGTGCTTTAGGAAGCCAGGCCCCATCCTTTCTTTGCACACACTGAAGACCTTTTCAACTACTCCTCTGGGAGTGCTGTACTACATCTCTCTCATTCAGATGTATCTGGTTTCTCAGACAATGAACTTTCTTGTGTTTGTTTCTGCTATTGCCCTATTAATTTTGCAGTAAGGTTTGATTACTCTGCACGGTTTAAATCATGCTATCAATGTCAATCCTGACTTTTTTATTCCAACTCATTCACTTTGATCACAGAGAATATTTTAATTAAGGCATACCAAATTCATATATAAGGAGATTAAATGCTAAGAGAAGTTCTCTTCTATCCTGACTAATTGCCATGGACAACTAGCAGGTGCATAAAGGATTTGCAGAGAAATAGCCCTGCTTGATAAGAATCTGTGAGATTAAGTATTTCCTTTGTCGCTGAAACCAGTCCATTTGCAGAAGTTCCCTGGAGCTTTTGGGCAACCCTGAATCAGCCTGTAGCTCTGCAGCTTCCACCCAGCATCCCTCTGCAGAGTCTTCTTTGCAGTGTGGCAGCACGCACTATGAGCAGATCTCCGAGACATCTCTTGCTGGGCTCTCAGGTTATGAGGAGCTTGCAGATTGCCCCTGCTCTCGCTCCCAAAACACACGCTCTTACATGTCAAGAAATCCTAGACACTTTATCACCCACCTCTTTGATGCAGCCAGTACCTTATCTGAAGCCTGATAACCAGAAAACTAACCTCATAATCAGAAGTCTTGCTGATAACCTCATGCACGAGTGCCTTTTCTCCCCCTCGCAGCCAAGCTCTCAGTATCTCCACAAAAAAGCCCCAACGTGGGAACACTCAGGGGGTTCAGGCTGCAGAAGGAAGGAGGGAAGAAAGGGGAGGGCAGAGAAGAGAGTTACTGAGTTCTTGTAGCATCAGTGGGGACAGCCAAGCACTTTACCTGCTTCTGCCACGTCTCCTTCCCCACACTCCACAGTGTAAGGAGCTGGCGGTGGCAGCCAGGACCCCTGAGAGGAGGGCAGGGACTGCCCTGCAGCTTCAGGTGCCTACCCAGCCTTCAGAGGGGAGGGGAAAGGTCCTGCTGTGGGAACTCAAGAGGGTGAGAGACTCCTACAGCAGGCAGCAGAGGCGTCTTATCCTGAGATGGAGAGTTTTCAATAGGATGTCTGAGGACAACAAACTGGGACAGGCTGGTATGGCCCGGTACCTCCCACCTCCCCATGCTGAGCTCCTGGCAGCAGAGCTGGAACTGACTGTACCTGGGGCCACCCAGCCAAGGGGGCTGTGGCTTCTGTGAGATGAATCTCTGCCAGATTTCTGCTGAAAGCTCCCGACTAAACCATGCTTTTGCACTGTGTCTTTTCTCCTGAGATGCAACACATCCAGTGCTACCCTGACAGAACAGACAGTTCAATTATTCTCCAAGGCAAAGTACTGCTCATTGTATCACTAAGAATTGACTTACACATCACCATCCTCACAGCAGGACAGGGATAGCAGAGGAACAGAAAACCCAGGGATAAAGTATCAGGACATTAAACTGGCCACACTTGTCCCCTTGGATGAAATCTCAAATAATTTCAGGGAATTTAAATGACAACTGAACTCAAAATGGTTTCTTTGCATGGGATGTGGAAGCATTTTGCTGCACATTGATAGGCTCATGAGGTCACAGAACACAAAGAAGTCCCTGAGAAGTAGGGGTATAGGTACCATCCCTCAGGGATGCTCTGCACAACAGGTCTAAGGGAGTTTCTGAGGATAAGTACCAAATGCATAAAATACTTTGGGTTTACCTTAAAACAGAGCAAGGGCAATTGTGCATATTTTCTGCCTAGGTTATTGTCTCTACAGGACAAAGCTACTAAGCATTCTTATTCTGCTGTGTGACTGTGTACTTAACAGCTACATTACAGAAAGAAAACAAGGCAAAACTATCAGAGAATATTAAGAACGGGATTGCAGTGCTGTGATTAATATCTACGCTCAATATATTTGTGGTGCTTTAACTTTAGCTATATTGTGTGTCGTTTTAACAACAAAGCTAACACGACCACACAAGTGTGTGTGTGTGACAAGTGTCTCAAGATACCATGACAGTAAACAAGGAAGTTGTCACAGAGCTTCCAATGCTCCCCAAAACTGGGAGTACTTATGGCCGTCTGAAGACCAACACTGACTCCTGCAAGGCTCAGTCCTTTAGACTTTAATCTTACTCTGGTTACAGATTTTCCCTGTCACCACTCACATTTCAGTGCTTCAGTTTTACATCTCAAGTGGCACAATACTTGTTTAAATTGAGAAAACAAAATAGGCAATAAAAATACTTTTACATTGTATCTTCTGACTCAAAATATCCCAAAGCTATTACCAACAATTGTTTTAAATTACAAAACTAAAAGATATGAAAGATATGCATAGTCCCCCATGTGATTATAACCTGTGAGAGCAAAACTTTCAAGTGCCAGTTAATCATTTAAGAATTTGCTAAATGAAGCTAAATTCATTGCACAAGAACCTATTTTCCCATTACTAAATAGGTCCAAATAAAGCAAAAGGAAAGGAAAGGATTCATTCTAAAGCATATAGAGTTCATTTTTCCAACAGAGAAGTTTCACTGCATGCTGTGCTGAAATTCAGTAACAGATGCTGAAATCAGAATAATGCTGAGCCTGAATTACTGCTGGAAAAAAAAACCCCACCAGTGAAAGCTCTCACCCCTTAATACAGAACACTTAATCTTTCACAAAGACTAAGAATAAAAGGCTATTAACTTTGCAAGAGAAATCACTAAACATCGGGAAAAGGAAGTCAAAGATAAATTTAAAAAGACAAGCTGAAACATCATACCTGGCATGAGATCACCAACTGTTAAATAAATATCTTGTTGATACTTGAAAAGCAAAAGATAAGTCAGTTCTTGCTTCACTTACCAGCTGATCTACATGCTGAAGTTTCCCTGCTGTCTTACAACACTTACATCCCAAGCAAGACAAGACATAGGCCTGCCACTTCTGTACTGCTTCCTGGTGTTGCCGTTTGTAGTTTTAAAGGAAGGTTTTATCCCAGCTGCCAGAAACTAGCCATTTTAAGGGGGTTTTAAAAAGAAGGCATGTTAAAACAAATACTTTGTGTTCCTGGAGGAAAAAAAAAAGTTCCAAGCTATTTAAACCTTTGAAATTGGGTCCCCTGAGGTCAAAGGCTCAGAGGCAGTTTGACTTAGAAAACGCCTGCAAGAAAGTGCCTGCAAATTCTTTAAACTTATGGGAACAATTCACTTTGAAAGTTTATTATCAAATCCATCAGTTTAAAGTGTAGTTCTGGCAAGCTCTACCACAACCTCTTTAGCTGGAAAATGGCATACGCAAAAGCAATGAGTATTTATGAGGCACTGCGAAGAACATGAAAGAAACCCAACCAAAAGTGATACAGTTTTTTGTGGACTGTTATCCCTTTAAGCAATACTTAAACACTGTTTTAATGAACTCAAGGTTGTGTTGCCACTGCGAGCTCAATTCTCAACGCAAAAAGCTGCTGCTGTGAACAAGCATGACTATGGTTACAAAAACGAACACAAAAGTTAATGCAAAAAGTCATCTCAAAAAAGTTTATTAGCATGAATAAAAACGTGAAGAATGACAGTAAGTGAGAAAGTAACTTAGCATGGAAGAATATCCATTTAAACAGTTTATAATCAGCAAGGTTTGAAATAAATGGATAACTTTATTGCCAGATTTCAAGTGATTTCTTGAACAACAATTTGTGTTGTATCAGATTCCTCACTAGAACTATTGCTTCTGTTTGGATCTGATCCCTGTTGCAGGTAAGAATTTAAAAAATATCCCCTGTTACTGCTGGGCTGCAGAATGCATTGTTGGTTTAAGAGCTGATAAAAAAAGAAATTCTCATCCGAAGTCTCCATTTCAAATTTAAAAACAAAGTTTTCCTACTCATACTACAAAGAAATACATTAGTATTTTGGCCATTAAAATTCTTACATAGTACTTAGTTATCATGGCAATCCCACAAATTCCCTCCCTTCACAGAACCGTAGATCAAATCTCTCTTTCAGAGGCTGCTTCTTGGCTTTGATTCTGGAGATTTACTTCATGTAGGCTTACACCGGCTTCAGGACAAAGACAGCATCATCTAGTACATAGTAGTCATTATACATATCACCTTCACATAGGTATGGCAGTCTGGTGAAAGCCTCTATGGCAAAACCAGCTTTACCGAACACTTCTGGCAGGCTATTAACCTGTTCTTCCCAAGTACGCCCTTTGATTTCCAAAACTTCTGAGGGCTTTTCCCACTTGCCACCTACTGAGAAAAGAAAACAAGTTTTGTTTCAGTTATAAAGTAAACTTAATTGTGTGTTGTATTTTCTTTCAGAAATTACACTGCATAGACTGCAATCCATTCATTCAAATACAAGGTTGACAAGCCATTTGTAGAGCTGCTGATAGATCAATTCAAGGTTTTTCAGAAGAACAAGCAGCTCCAAAACTAAAACTGAAAAGGACCCTCCATCACTGAGACTGGTGTTCAGCAGCCATGGACAGACGGACAATTTAACAAAGATCTTTTCCAGCACTGTATTTTTTTCTTTATGCCTACAGTTTGGCCACAAAATTACCATCAAGTAATTATATACATAGAGATAGCACGTTGAAAAATCATGATTTGCTGAGCAGTTTTCAGTGGTAAACTATTTTGCTGGTTAGATAAGGAATGGCGACAGAATTTGTTGTGGAATGGACACTTAGAAGCTGACGTAACAAAGATAGTTTAAGGCCACATAAAAATAAGAAACTGAATGCATGTATTACGCTGAAAAATGTTTTACTTGCTTTATACAATGAATAAATCTGAAGTACTACAGGCAGAACTCTCAGTTCGAAGTTCAGAAGCGTTCACTCACTTTCAAAGTAATGTGGAAACACTTTCTGGTGTGTGCTGTACATTTAGCATGTTTGCTAAACGCAACAGTAAAGCCCCTTCTAAACAGGAAGTTCTAAATCTCGTGACTCAGAGTGTTCTGCAACTCCAGATATTTCCTAAGTTCCTCTTCCTTCGAGCAGAATACTTCTCAGAAAGATACAAGAAATGGCACCTGTCAACAAATTCCAAAAATTGCTGGTGCTTGCACTCGACTGGATTCTGTACAGTATTGGTAAGACTTCTTTTTTTCTAAGCTTCTTTCTACCTTCTCATGTAACCGAATATACAGGATTAAAAATGTTGTGGCTATGATCTGCAACATAGCTGGAAGTATAGTAAAGTGCTCTGCTAAGAGTTGATTTCTTCTATATTCATGCAACTTCCAAAACAAATAACTCTTTACAAATATCTTTTCTTTCAATGTCTGAAATGTTTCTGTAATCTATGATTTTTTGAGTCAAATCCTACTGTACTCCCCTGCAAGGAATGCTCCAGCAGCAGCAGCATGGCTTCAGTGCCACTGTGTTTGTTTGGGAGGAGGGTTTAGGCAGCCTGGCTACTGAAACTATGGAGTTCTGCCCTGTAAGGCCAGAGCACAAAAGCGAGCTGTAAAAGGAGATGATAACTGCTGGAGCACAGCGTTCTTCACCACGCAGAATGTAACTGACGACTTACACCACTACAGTCTTCAGATTGCTGCAGCTGCTATGGAGTGGCTCTGATGATGATTTGACAGAATTTCATTTCATTCCAGACACCAAATCTGCTTGAATCTGGTCCATAAAACATTCAGTGAGAGAAATGATGAAGGGACTGTGCTGACTGTACACAGTAGAGCCTTACAGATGGCGTATCAGCACACTCATTAAGACAAACATCAGTTTATTCTAATTTGTTACTTTCTAGAGCACAGGAGAGGACGCTGCTAAGCTATTTTCATGTTCGCTGCCTAAGCTCAATTCCATTTTTTAAATAATTAAGCAATGTGAATAAAATGAGATATACCGAAAGTATTTAAATAATGTTTCAAGTTTTTATTGAACTTTAAAACAAAAGTAAATCTGCCAGACCAGTCATATTAAGCCTAACATTTCAGTTCCTTAATTAGAATTCTCCCTGATTAATCTTCCTGTTTTCTCTACGCATATTCTTAAATGCCAGAACTAACAAGCAATACTGTTATCCCTAGAAACCCAGAGTCAATATGAGCAACGAAGTGGAATAATGCCTAGGAATTATTAAGAATTCTTCCCAATGTTACAAAAGTGCTAAGTTTTAAAAGTCTTAGTTTCTGATATTTCTGCTGCCTCCATCAGGCAGTCTCACTGGACTCCCAGATGTGGGAGAAGAAAGAGAAACCCTTGGTGAAATACATCACTGAGTATCTATGTGTAAGTCACCCACCCCATCCTAAACATTCAAAGCCTGAAGCGCATTTTTCTCCATTCCCACCCACCTCTCTGCATGAACCATAAGCAGCTCTTTTGTTTCTTTTAAATGATGCTTTGCTATCTCACTGTCACTCACGTGGCTGTTTATTCTCAACAGGTGCTACAGGTAACTGCCATGTCACTGTAACACAGCCCAGGTTCCAGGAAGCCGAACACTCAGCGCACACTGCGCTCCTAACGTGTGCTTTCTCTGCCCATGGATGCTCCCCATCTCAGCCTCAAGTTCTATGGTTTCGCTTTTTTACTAACAGACATGAGGATCTGTGCACTCCTGAATGCACGAATCGCCAGAAGTTCCAAGTGCATACATCATCAGAAAATAACTACTGGCTTCAAATCAACAACCTGACTGTAAACGACAGTGCTCTTTATTTCTGTGGGATAGCATTTGCAGATTCAGGCTCACCCCATTCTAAGCAAACAGGAGATGGAACAGTACTGACAAAAAGAGGTCAGTTCATTATTCATTCCTAAAGAAGCGCGGTCAAAAGAAGTACATTTTCTTTCCTAAATACTCTATTTAGATGCTTAAAATAGCATTTAAGATAGAAATACCAACCAAAACATCAGAGGAGTATGACTTCATACTAATTGTGAGGCTACAGAGGGATTCTACAAATAAGCACCTCAGTGTCATTTGCTTACTAGACTGTTCTGTCACATGATGCAAATGACTCCAGAATTCCACTACAGGAAGAAATTTGCTACCTAGCCATACTGTGCACCCTCCTACATCAAAACTTGGATGGCTACTAGAAAGGATGTAGCAAGTGAGAAGTAGAGAAACTGACATTTATTGAAAATACATCCAACAGAGAAAAGGGTTTCAGGACTGGGGATTCACAGTGCCAGCTCGAGCCAAAAGATTTAGTCCTATACCTCTGCAATGTTTGCCATCTAGTTAAAAGATGATGCGACTTCATTCATTACACTTCAATTTTACATGGTTAAATAAAAGAAAACTAGCAGGATTATTATTTTCCCCTCTATCCTTCCTTCCCCAGCCTAGTTTTATTCCTAAACAAAGGCCTAAACGGTTTTATTCAGATGTTCTTTAATTACAGCAGAATACTGGGTTTTATTCTCTATCCCCTAAGGAAGTGTTTATAATCAGAAATAACAAGTCTCCACTGCCCTTGCAGGTGATCGTACTAAGAAATTTAGATCGGAAATTAGTTTTAAAAAATTACATTAAGTTTTTTAATTCTGCGGAGGAAGGGGGCTGATAGGCAGAGTTATAAAGAAATTACTTGACTCATAAAAACTGTTTGTTACTCTAACTCTCACTTCTAACTAAGCAGAGAGGTACAACACTGAAGAGTTCAACTCCATGATCATCATCTCAACGTTACTGCTGCTATACAGCATTACTGCATTCACAATCCTTGCAGCCCACAAGGTAGGCTCAAACCGATTTTGTGATTGAACTTTAAGCAGTCCCAGCACCTCCACAAGGAGAACGAATTCCCAGCTTCTATAACATCTGTAGTTACAGCAGTGTGGTTGGTTGAATGAAGTTCATATGTTGCACACATCTGTCTGCAATAGCAATCACATTTTCTTTTTTAAATGAAATGCTTTAAATTAAAAAAAAAAAAAAAAGGCTAAAATTATACTGAGTGTTTTAATCAGCAGGTGGGAGACTATTTATTAATGCACACACAAAAAGTAGAGCTAGAAATTACCACAAGTCATTAACTCTCTGGATTGGCTTCCATTAGAAGCAAAATAATTTAAATTCAATGCCAACATATTTGTGAGCTAACAGTTAGTAAACTGACTTTACTTGTATAAAGAAATTGTCTTCATCCATTGTGCAAAAACAGACATTGGTAAAACTGATGCATATAGGAGCACATGTGAATATGGACTTTACAGCTGTATGTGGCACAGCATGGCTCCTGGCTGTAGTGACAGCTGTCTAACCAAAGACAGGAAGCTTGTTGTTGTTTTGTTCCCTGAATACTACAGGGGAAAAAAAATCAATCGCCTTTTTCACCAGGAGAAAAGCTGCTATCTTACTTCTGACAACTTGGCCATGCTTCAGGCAGGTTCTGTTGTACACAAAATATTTACATCATCTACTACAGAAACCAAAAAAGGCTGTATATGTTTGAAAACTCTTGATTTTTTCAACGTCACATAAGCAAATCTATTAAGTTGACTTTTATATATTCTCACCATAATAAGGCAACACTTCATTATTGTGCTACTTCACTTGTTGCTAAATCATCCCCTTGTTTTAATCATTTTTTATTCCCTCTCCTTCCAGTTAAAACGAAAGCTGCTAAATAGAAGTGGGAATGAAAGGCAGAGAACAGAGAACTGTGTACGTCATCACCGTCTGCTTTACCTATACTTTAGAGAGTAATAAAAAGCCATACTTGCTATTTAAATATCCATTAAAGAAGGTACATATGTTAAGAGATGTAGTATTAATCTAATTTAAACTCCTTGAGCTGCTGTAAGCTCCTAGAGCGTTATTTAGTAACTTTCCCAAATACATACATTGGGAAAATAATCAGAACTATAAAAATGCAGCAAAAGATGCTTCTCCCAGCTGTAGCACTCAACTGTAGCACTAACCTAGCATGTTTTAAATCCTTTACAGAAGATCACTAGTGGCCGAAAAATTTTTCGAGCAATAGCCCAAGAACTGCAAAAGCAGCGTTATGCTGAGCACTGCCAGCAGCCTGTAAGTTTTATCTACGTGGGAAAAACAGACATACACAAGCTTTTCTGTTTTTGTATATATATATAATATGTACTTACACATATGTATCTACGCATGCACATACATGTGCATTTAACAATGAAGCCTCTGTAGGCTTGTATCCTGCCAAGAAGTTGCTCCAGCAAGTTGTTCTGGACTCTGATAAAACAAATTCATTAGGGCTCATTCTTGAAAACATTTCATTTGTAGTTCCTCTTGTGCCCTCAGGCCAGGGTGGTTCAATGACAGAACCATAAGAAAATTGTTTCAAAACACCTCTGTAACATTCTTACAGATGTTTCCCCCAATTCAACATGTAGCCTAAATTAAGCAGTCAGTACCACTGGATAAAGCCACACAATTTACTTCATCATTCCAAATTTCCAGCACTAAGTCTTGAATGGCAATACAGCAAAAAAGTTTTGCATGTCGTCAAAGATAAAGAAGGCAATTTCAGAAGCCACATGTACTCGCAAGCAAAAAAAAGGCTTCCAAATGATCCTTCAAAAAAAAAAAAAAAAAAAAAATCAGCTTCTCTTGAGAAACATTATAAATTCTTCCCTATTCTAAGCTTACACTGAGCTATTTCAGAGGTGTGATGCAAAAGAAAAAGGGAATAGAACAGCAAGTCAAGCACTTCTCCTCTAAACATTTTCACTTTACCTCTGTACCACCCTAATTGATTTCCTCTGTGATTATCCCTTTAAAGACTTCAAGTCCCTGCTGACTTAATCCTTGGTTTGAGTGTCAGACATGAACACAGTGAAAATACAGGATATGTCTTAATGCCTCTGTGCTCTCTGAGGAGTAAGAGAAGTCAAGAGGAAAAAGAAACGTTTAGAAACCTGTAGGTACCATACAGCCAGATAGATGACTTGATAAACAGGGAGGGAAGGAGTTTGCTGAAACAGTAAAGGGTGGAATTTACCTCTAAAAGGAAGTTCTGCATTTAAAAAAAAGCCAAAAACATTTGCATCAGTAGGTAAGCACTTATACATTTTTCCCTAGGATCATTTGGAGGATGACACTGTTTATCAGAACAGATGAGTATCTGCTTCGTTTCCAGTTTGTTGGATATGTTTGATGCAACTGAAGGGGCTGATGAAGAAGTGAAGCTTTGTCACAGACTTACTTTCCTTTAAAATGCAAGGAGCAAAGTGTACAGGGCAGTGTTCTTTGAGAGTGCTGAAGAGATCATCAAAACCAACATTATGTCTGCTACACATTACTTTCCATTCCACAAGAACAAAAACAGCGGGAGAAGGCTTCATCTTTTAGAAAAGAACTGCTAATGCTTCATAAAAACTTTCCCTTTCAATTTAGATTTAATTCTACACATTTTTACATGAATGTCAATGCATTTCTTATATGTGAATTGTGCATTTGTGTAAGATGTACATGAATCAACAGCAACAAAATAAACTCATTACACAGTGACGTTCAGTCTTCATTCATATTGGTGTGGTAGTTATAGTGGATAGACAAATGAAAAATTACTGAGTCTTACAGCAGCTTCAACAGCAAAGCAGATGTATTCTGTAGGTAGGCAAGCAGGAAAAAAAACAACAGATAACATAAATGCACATACTATCATGCTAAAGCTCATTTGGGATGGGAACATCCCCCTAGCCTACCTAGGAAAGAAGATGGCAGTCACTGTGAAAAGGCTGCTCTAGCAACTTGAACATCAGTCACCAGCAACACAGCTCCTTTCCTCCAGCACTACCATCCAAAGTCAGGATTATCTGGAGTGCCAACCTTTGCTCACAACAGATGCTGGCATGAACACAGAAGGGCACAGAAGTTACTAACCAGCTAATGTACAAAATCAGCACTTGGAGAAGTGACCTGCTGATGCCAGGCATACCTCCTGCTCAGGAACAACTGCATCTGTCATTTAAATGAAGCAAGGACTGAAGTGCTACTTCTCATTTCAGTGACATGAGAACTGACAGATCAGACAAAGGCCCCACCTAGCACAGCACTGTATTTCCAGATCTACTTAATACCAAACGCTTCAGGAAAATGAAAAATGCACCTTCCTCTTCTTATCCCTATGAAGCAATCAAATAAAAACTAATGTGTTCAACAAGAACATTTCACAATCCCAGGCTGATAGTGTTGATTTTTTTCTGAACTTTGGTGGTGAGTTCAACACTTTTGTTTTGGAGAAACTTAAACCATTTTAGTTTATTATTTAGAACTGACTTTATACAAATGCAATGTCTGTATTAGGAAATACAAAGCATTTCATAATCACCCAATGGGATACCTACCAAAATTACTAATTTAGACTAGTCACACAAGAGCATGTTATGTTATGATCCCATATCATTCATACAGCTTACGTGACAAATTTATACGTGAGCAGGAAGTGCATTACTTGTTCTACATGTGGAAAATAAAACTTCTGCGAAGAGCTGCATTTATGACTTAGCAACTGCAGACTCTAGGTGTCACTGTAATTCCAGAAACAGCACAGAAAAAAATGTTACCTCCCACTCTACCTCGCTTTGTTCTCTTTGGGCAGGCTTCGCATTGTCAGTTTCTGCAACTGCTGTCAAACTACACTAAGTGTAGTAACCCAGATATGTTTCATATCTCCAACTCTCAAAACTGGTCCCTACCTGACCCATCCCTGTCCATTCGTTCCCCACTTTAAAATTCAGAAATCTCCCCAAGCAGGTCCAAACTTTTAAATTAGCTGATACAAGGAGCAATCCAAGATCCATACAATTTTTTTTCTTATTATAAAGCTTACATACACATGTGACATTTAAGGTATCATCTTGTAGAACAACAATGAAAATACTGGAATCTAAAATCTTTTGTATGTGATGAACATAGAATGTCTCTTCACTGTTTCTTTAGGCTATAGCTGAATAGATCTTAAGTTGGAAAGCTTCAGTGGAATGCCAATAACTTGTGCATTTAGTAACTTGCACTGTCCAGAAATGTTTATATAGGCCCATATCCACAACTGAGGTAAACAAAGTAAAGATGTTTTGAAGTTTCAGTCGATATTTACCAACGGGAACGCTGGAAATGATAATGGCATACTAAAGTTAATCTGTCACATGCTGCAGGTCACAGACAGCCACAAAACACCATCACTGCACTAGCTGAGAATTCTGACTAATCATTTACAAGTTGCCAGAATAAACCAAAGTTTGCCTTCAGTTTACAGGCTATCTTAGCTGTTCTCGTTCAAAGTTGAAATCCACTCTAAGATCAGCAACCAGAGAACAGGTTTCTAGTCTCTCAGGATTTCCAAATTTAATATCCTACTCTATTCCCAGTATGCTGCAGGCAAATAATGATGGATTATAAATGGACTTGGAGTATTTTTTTCTTCCTTAATTTATCTACCTCCTGGTGAGTGAGGAAGTTACATGTGGTCTACCGTGGTTACCCAACAACACGCAGAAGAGTAGATACTGGGCGCAACAGTGATTGCAAAACACAATGACAACAGTTATGAAGGCACACAAACACAAATCACTCCTCGATTTCTGCTTCTAATACATTCATGGAAGTCTAGTGAGACAATGCTGTTACTTGGAATTTAAAATAATTTTAAGTTGCTCAGGGACATGATTTAGTGGAGGGTTGTTAGCTGGGGTAATACGGTTGGACTCTATGATCTCTAAGGTCTTTTCCAGCCTGAACAATTCTATGATCCTATGATTCTAAAGAGAGGAAGTGAAACAGTCCTACGTTATAGGAACACAGCTGCAACCGAATCTGCTTGAAAATATCACACAGATGCGTAAGTCAAACTCCTATCTCATTTAAGGCATACTCCTTTTTAGAACACCTACCAAACTACACGCTCAAATACTATGCTTTAAGCAGCTCTTCAAATTACATTATTTTTAGACTTTTTTTTTCCTTTGCCTGTCTCAATCCCCCTCCTTCCCCAGTGTTAATGGCATAAAGAAAAATAGATTTGTTTTGATTTATGATTTCCAAAATGCTAACATTATTAGCTCTGTACTTTCTGGGAGCACATATACTTCTGCTGACAATTCTTACTAGTCATGGACAGCCAATGTCCAAAGAATGACTGATGAACACCAGCCTTTAGAACTCAGACCTCCTTTAGCGTGCCTCAAGTTGAATCCCCACAAACACAGGCACCTTAAAGAAGCTTCTAGCCTCTTCTGATGTGCAGTCGCAGAGAAAGATTCATCTGAAATGACTCTCATGCATTTCTTTAAAATGCAACTACAGGAAATAATGGAATGTCAGCAACAAATTTTACTTTTTATTCCAGTTATTAGTACACTACTAATAATGGTTGGTATTTCCCATTAGTACATGGCCTGTATTTTACTCCAAGAGCTCATATTGGACAGCAAACATTATCTCCCTAGGAATTTTTAGGTGTAGTTCATCTGGAACGCTTGAAACAATTTGAGGTAAGCTGCTCTACTCAATACTACAGACAGTTCTGATGGATTTGTTCAATGGTTGCTAGAGACAACTGGGGTTACCTATGTGACAGCAGCAGAGGGCCCTAATCAGAGATCAGTTTTCCCATGTTGCTCCAACACAGCTCAAATGTGGCAACCTGCAGAACAGGATATGTGACTTCAATATCTGAGCTTTTTGTTGGTGCCAACAATGTATGCTGGGGAATTAAGAAAACGGCTCTTACCTCATGTGTCCTATTTACCTATCATTTCATACTTCTCAACAAGCACACTACAGGTTATTTATAAGTAAGTCAAATAAAAACATGTCAGTTATTTTAAAAACATCTAATTCAGAATACTGCAACCTACAAAAGCTTCTAGTTGCCTAAACAGCTACTATCCATGTACTTACCGTTTTCCACATACGGATGAAAAGGCAGAACTAATGCTAGAATGACTCTGCCTCTAGTTGGCTCCAGGACACTTCTAATATCTTTTAATACAGTCAGTGGCTGATCACAGCGATCCAGCAAATTCAAACAGCTGATAACATCATACTGAAATCCTGTGTTCTGCCATTCATTTATACCAAGCACCCTACAGAGAGAGAAAGAGATAAAGAACCACGTTCAGAGGGAATCAACCGAGGACAAAAATTCCCAATTATTGTGCTGGTAGCACAGAAAGGTCAGCCAACCAGGCAGTGAGGAAAAGCAGTTGCTTTATTCTAGTCTTATGGAATAGAAAACTACTCAATGATAGGCATGCCTATATATTCAGCCACACCTTCATACTGCCATATAAACATCAAGCTATTATTATTAAAGTCTGGTGTCCTATATTAAAACTGAACTACTTCTCAAGTAACAACAAAGCTGAAATGTGATTAATGGTTTGTAGCATTTTAACCACCCTGACTTAGCAGTGTGCAAACCCAGTTGCTATTAACTGTCCACTTTTGGACAGGTACAGAAAAGAAATCCACAGTTCCTTCATTCTTCGTGTTGAAGTTTAGGGATACTAACCATTATTCAACCAGACCAGATCTGCTGCCTACAAGAACTTGCAGCCATTGTGACCGGAGCACAACTAAGTTCTGGCAGTGATGAGGTTTTTGTTACTAAGAACTGATCAATCTTAATGCCAAGAGCTAAGTATAATACAAGATTCTTTACAAAGCAGTCTACAATCATAACTTTGAATGATTAGGTACAGATACCTGAATAATCTGTGTCTATAAAACTTTGCTTTGCTGTCCATCACTTCCTCTCGCAATTTTGAACTGTTCATTCATCAGTATCCAGATTTTGTCTAATTGTCTTGTTTAAAGCAATTTACACAAACTATGAAAAAACAGACTTCAAAACAGTGCTGCCAATTTTGTCTTAACTGGTAACAGGGGACATTTGCATAACAAAAGCCCTGGTAACAAGGAACATGAGATGTGTTTGCTTTCTTGCTTTTGTATAGTTCAATCTTTTCCATAAAGATCAAACAATAGAAAAATTGACTGAAAATACTGGATGTTTATAAAATATTATAAAGACTATTTTGCAGTAATGTCTGCTATAAACAACGTAGGGAGCATCCAGAACAATACCTGTATTTTTTCTTCTGAAGCTGCCATATCATAGTTTCAGACAACTCAGTGGCATAGATTTCTTCAAAGTGAGGACTCATGACTTTAGTAACCTCTCCATCTCCAGCTCCTAAATCAAGAAGTCTGTGGGATTTCCATTCTGGATTTATTTTAAGCAGTCTTTGAAATTGTTCTGGGGAAAACACAAACATTGAGCCCCTTCCCAGCAGCCTGCAAGGTAAAGATGAGAAACATTCAATTTCATACAAGCTTGAGCAGGAAGGACAATGAAGTAATTTAAAATGTGCTTGGGCAGCAATCAGTCACACCAAATAGATAAGGTCACTGCTCAGAGAAATTTACAAATTCAGTTCAACTTGCCTTCTACTTGTCAGAGATCACACAAACACAGCTACATGCAGTTTTAGTGGCTAAGACTT